CGGCCCGAGCTGCCGGTGCCTTCGCTGCGCCAAGACTGCCCCGCTCCGGGGTACCGGTGCGGGGGAAGGAGAAGGGCTACACCGCCTCCCTCCCCCGGCCTCCACCGCGGCGCGGCGCGGCCCTTACGGCCCAGGCTGCAGCAGCCTGCCCCAGACGGCCGCCCCCCACCCGCGCCCGTCTCCTCACCGACTTTAAGGCAGAGAGAAAATGCCCGAGCGGCCCGGAGCGGAGACGGGCAGGAACGGCAGCGAGGAGCGGCGGCAGCGAGAGCTCTGCGAGCGGAACCGACGCCAGAGGAAGAGGGGAGGGCCGCGCTCCGCCCCGCCCTGCCCGAGAGGATGGAGGGAAGGGGCGGAGAGCGGGGCAGGTTCTCTCGGGGCCGCGTGTGCTGCCGGCCTGCTGGCTGTCTGTGGCCTGCCAGTGGCATACTGTAGTCTGTGCGGACAGGACTATCGGTTACAAGCTGTGCCCATCACACGGCGAAGTCCCTGGGCTCTAGAAGCGCAGGCCTTCTCTACTGCCGTTTAAACACGGGTTCTTTCACTAGCAATCAACAGGTCTCATCCTACCTTCAGGCTGTAGGGCAGTCGGTCTGACGGCACACAGCATAAACACATCCAGTGTGTTAGTGGAGGCCCTTCAAGTACTGTGTTATAAAGACGGGTTGCCAAACTCACACAGCAGCACAGAGAACACGGGGAATACTCTCCATGTAGGATGGGAGTTGCAACTGCAGCTCAGTTCTTCGCTCTCCAAAAGGCCAAACCAACTTAGAAAACACAACTTTCCTTTTAGACTGTACACAGCTGCAAATTTCCACCAGATTTAAGTGCAATGTTCCTGTGCCTAAAGCTCTTGAAATGACGAAACAAAGCCCTGGGCTGCAGTAGGGAAAACATGATCATTCTTATTATCAATAGGAGCCAGATTTCATCTCATACCATTTTTGTTACTATTTTGTCCTTGAAACAATACTGGTGATAGATCTCAGTGCCATGAAATAGCAGTACAGTGCTGTATAAGTTTTACTCAAAAAACTTTTTTGCAGATTCTAGTTAACAGCCTGATGAAATCCCCAAAACTCTAACTAAAAATACCACATTCAGAGGAAGTATTTTCACCTTAATATTAGCAAATATTTGTCCATTAATTCTAAACTCAATTGGTACTCATTCTAAAATGACAGCATTTGTCTAAATCACAATTAATTAAAAAGCCGAGAAGAAAAATCAGAAATTACTAAAATCACATTTTAAGGAAACACAAAGATGTAATAGTTCTTGTTGTCAGTTCCCTAAAGTCTTTGATTTTACAAAACTGCAAAGCCCATTACCATTTGATCTTTTCCCAATAGCTCTAGTTTCTTACACTTTACCACGAGAAAAGAACAGGAAAATTTTACCAATGTAAAGGAATAAGATTTTTTTGTATCTCTACAAATTTAGATTAAATGTGATTTATTTGAGGGTCTGTGCAGGTCACACTCTCTTCTATACCATGCTAATTTAAACCTGCACTGTCATCATTGAAATAAATGAAAATAAATTTGTGTTTGAGTAAATGAGCACAGGATCTGAACTAATGCTATACCCATTGAGCATCTCCTGAGTTGTTTCTTATGCTAGTGTTTTGGGTAGAGAATGATGTTGTTAAACATGTTCTTACTGTTAATTTTATGGCTTTGAACTATCAAAGCTGAATATTGATTTGTATGCATACTTGCACTGGCTCAGCTCAGCCATTTCCTTTTCCCCCCTCTCAAATACCTTTACACTTATTTTTCTCCTTTCCTCATGGGGAAATGTTCCAGCAAGATTCATACAGCTGCCACTGGATCACTTTAAAACTTCCTTTTCAAAACAATGTCTCAGTGCCAGTTGTTTGTCACGGCCGAGTTAAACGGTGAGCTGCCACACCTATAATGAACTCGTGTTGTCATGGTTCCCCTCTCGGCCCTCCCCTCCGCCTTTCCCTCTTGGTCACCTGCTGATGAGTGCTATGGGCAACCTCACCTCTGTTAGGAAAACAGCGGTACTGGGATCCTGTCCTGCTGCTTGACCCTTCCTACCTCCAGTACCGCTCCCTCACCTTGTGCCCTCTTCTCAGCTGGGGATGAAAGCACCAGCTTCGTCCTGCTTCACCATTTTGCTGGAAAGAAGGGACAAAACTGTGGGTAAGACAGAGGAGGAGTGAGCGATGTCAAGGCAGTGAATAGCAGTGATCATATTCCACCTCTGGGAGAGGCCAGAGTAGACAGTGGTTCATAGAGATCTGATGATGTGGAGCAGGCCTGAGGTGGGCTGCCAGGAAGCAGAGTTCAGCTCTGGTGTGTTACTGGGGTGGTAATGTATTGGTGCCTAGAAATACTTGGCAGTATGTACTTTTAGAATCTCTGTTTTACTGAAATATTGATACATTGCCCATCATTAATTTGTACAGTGTCTCCTTCTGATCTTTTGGATTTTTTTTCTCTGGAAGAACAGAAAAAAAATAGACAGTTGTGACTCTCAAACTGTAGAGGATGTACTGGATGTACAAATGACAAAATGGTTATTATTTGTGATCTGCTCTTTGTTGCAGGTATTTTCAAAATTCCATGCAAATTCATTTAAGTTTTTGAGGTAACTCCAGAACTGTTCCAGTGTAGCACAAAACACATTAATGACAAGTCTTTTACTTGGCAGGACAAGAGAACTTATATCTTGTTCTACCAAGATATAAGTGTGTGATATATATATCTGTGTGTGTGTGTAAGTATGACAGTTCTTTCTTGCAGGAATGCTTGCAGTAAGTGGCTGAAGGAGTCCTTAAGAAAGCAGTACTAATCTATATCAATGGCCCATGGCTTACAGGTTCCAAGGTTGTCTTTAGGAAACTGAAATAAAATAAAAAAAATCATTTTCCTAAGGGGGAAAAAAGCCTTATTGTAATTTGTAAATGCATGTTCCTTATCAGCCATGCAAATGTCATTGCACACACATATCTCAATTTTTTCAAGTTATAAAAGGTTGGGAAATCAACCAGCTTACCTCTAGTGAACAGTGGCATCCTTGTAACTGAACAGGTAATTAAGCTCCCATCTCCACAGCACAGGTGAGTTCTCAGCCTGAAAGGCTCAGATTACAGGAACTGACAGTGGAGGCCATGATATTTGCAAAGAAAGCCTACGGTTCTTATGCGTTCCTGGAGATAGTACATCATCTTCTGGTGACTGGAAAACAGTCAGAGGGGCCTGAATTGTTGGGATTTATACAGATCAGACCAGGGGGAAACTGCCTCCATGCCTTTGTTCTGGCTTTCAGACAGTAAGTGAATACCATTGCCAAAAGACCGGAGAATTTTCAAGCCTCTATCCAAGACTTACTGCCAAAGAGATAAAAAAGATGATGTCATTGGGATAACCCCCCCAGGGAGGGTTCAGGACTGAAGTTCCTTTTTAATTTAGTCTTGTCATCTTTAATTAATTTTAGTTATATCACTCCTTTGATTTAGTTAAATCAACTTACTTGTTGGCTGCCACAGCTGCAACTACAACAAAGAGTGATGGTTTAGTACCTTCCCCCAAAATGCTCCACCAACATGTTTCACATGGCACACATAATTTTTTTGGACTGGAGGTTTTAAACTGAAGCCACCAATTCCTGCAAAAGTGAGCATCCAGAATCTTACCTATCAAAATACATGTTAAAAAAATGCCTATTTTCCATTACTAACTATATATTAAAAGCTATCAGGTTTAAGACTTCAGGGCAGAAAAAGAGTTGCTATAGGAACAAACAAACAAAAAAATTTCAAACAACTAAAAATGCCAATGAAAGCACAATCTAGTCTTTAAAAGAACAGTGGAAATGTAAAACCAGCTCTGTAAACTAGTTTGATTATCTGATGCCAGTTATGATAATCCCTATATAGAACTGCACATTGCATCTGCAGCTGGAGATAAAGCATGGACTGAAACAGCAAGCCAAATGGGACTGAGGGATTGTTTACAGCACACAGTCAGTGTCACTAAAACACTGACATTGCATTTTGAAAATACCTCCCCTGACAGTGCTTCCAAAGGTGTAAACAGAGGTTTAACTTGTCAGGCTGACAAAAAGAAAAGCTTAAAAGGTGCAAGCCAGCAATGAACTGCAAAAGTTAATACTAAACATGTAGAAAATAACATATATTCTTTGAAACTGTTGTTTGCTACCGGCCTACAATCCAACTTTAATGTTAACTGGGACCTGTTAGATTTTTGCCCCAAAACTTCACACAATTCATATGTTATTATTATTTCCATATTAATTTATCATTATTTACACATTATTCTGACTCCATCATCATCAGTCACTACCCATACAAGCAATGCAACTACTCTGAAATACATTTTCTCAAGGAGAAGACACTCATTACTGCAATAAAAGTGATTTTCCAGGATTGTACAGATTGTCACTGATTTTAGGAGTATTTAACCAATATATCTAAGACAGAATTAGTCTTTTCTCAACAAGAAGATTACAGTCATATTAACTATCCAAGATACCCTTTGTTCATCCCATAGTAACACTGCTTATTTGTGTCTGTACTGCCCTGTATAATACCAACAGCACAAGACCTGCTGTTCCACTCTGCTTCAGCAGCAGTCAGGCCACTTATTTTGATAAAAGAATTCAGATAAATTAATCTGAATTGGAAACACCCTTAGGGGGTTTAAAGAGAAGCAGAGAAACATGAAAGCAACTCCTGGTCATGTAGTTCAGCTTCAAGATTATTTAGAAAGGTAAGAAACAAGTATGACAGAATCACAGAATACTGTTAGAAGGAATCCATAAGGATTGTCAAGTCCAACTCTTAATGAATGGTCCATGTGTGCATTGAACCCACCATTAATACTGTGTTTTACCTGTACATCTGGTGCATTCTGAGTTGACACATACACAGCCATTTCTTTATCTTGCACTCTTGGAATAACAACCACCCTATTTGTTTCCATGCAAAAATGTTCCTGCCTCCCATGTGAAATGTACCCATTATGTATATAATTATAGGAAAAATAAACTGGATTTCAAATGAACTGCAAGGGAATTTATATTTGACTATGTGTATATAAGGCAGAGAAAGAGTTTTGTCACAGAAGAAAAATACTTTCATTTATTTTCTGTTTCTTTGAATCTCAGGCTTGCACCTCCTTTATTTATAGACCTGTGTTTATTAGGAGAAAATTATTCAATCACTAGCAATTTAACATCTCATGCTTTTTTCTTCTTTATGAGGTTACATCTCTTCTGTTATAGCAGGGTTATGTATTCTTCTAAATCACTCTATGAGGGAAAATACAACTTTCTTATTCCTCTACCTTTTTTAACCTCTTTCCATCAGTAACTTTTTTTCTACCCATTTCCACTCACTTTTGTACCATTTTCATTAAACAGCATAACAGTTAATTCTGCAAATTCTGTGCTTTACCCTCAACTTTATGCCATCCTTGAGTGTGACAATATTGGCCTGCTGGTTATTCCTGAAACATGTTTCCTGGATGCAGTAATGAGAATCAGAATTGAAGCTACTAAAGAGTGGCATGACATTTGATTTGGAACAGTTGGAAATAGTAAAAAGCAGAGCAGAAAAAAATCATCAGAGGTCAGAATCTATATGGAGAAGACTGACAGAATTGAGGTGGATGAGCCCAAAAAAGTGAAGCAAGCCACACCTTTGCAGACTTCAGCATCACCACTGCTTCAAACAATTGTCTTTGCCCACTGTGATTGCCCACAGTGTCAAATGTTTCAGCAGCTTCATGTTACAATTAGTAGAGGCTTAAGAATGAAAAGTTAGAAGGGCAAAGTTCTCATTATAACAGTTCCAGATAGAATCTGAAAAGAAAGCTGACAAGCAGAGTTCTTCTATATTCTACTTTTCTACCCAGACCTGGTGGAGGGAGAAAAATTTCCTCCATCACCAGTCTACAACCTTCATTCAGATCTCATCATTCCATTGCCTGGTAAAAAACACACTTTTTTAAACATAACAGGAAGCTAAAGATACTGTGAAGTAGCTGAGAAGTATAAGTTGTCACTTCCAATGATTACAATTACTATCACCTGCCTGGTCTCAAGCTGCTGTGTATCTTCCAGTCCTGTGTTCTCCTGTGCCATGTCTACTATCTAATGACATCTAAAATGGTCTGGACACCTATGTTTAAGCAACTGCATTTCACTGACTCATCATGGTTACAGAGAGACAAACTGAAACAATAAAGACTTCATATCTTAATATTCAATGCTAAAGCTGTTTAAGCAACTGACCTGATTTCTGTTGCAGATACAGTGTCAGCTCAACAAATGAAGGAAAGAGAAGAGAAATTGTGGAACACTGAGAGGTGGTGAAATAATAAGAGCCTGCAGGCTGACATGTCATCCATTCCCCCATTCAAAGCACACTGAACTCCATGTCAATTTTCCCATTGTGTTCAGATGCTTTTGGCTTGCTCCATGAGATAAAGAAAGCTTCTGGTGGAAATTACAACTCTGTCAACTTTTGGGATAAAATTTTACATATCTAGGCCAGCCATGGCAACTTACCTGGCATAGCAAAAGAGAATAATAACTCTTGTTTCTTACATGTTTTTAACACAAAGATACCTGTGCCAAAAGATTCTAAACCAGCTTTACTACAAGTCAAAGCACCACTTCTGGTCAAAAAGGTTCTGAATCCAACAAACAAGGCTCTGATTCTTTGACATGGATCTCTGCACTCACACTTCACTGTAAGACTCAAATCTGAATTAGAAAATTAGCTGAAGCCATTACAAAATCATTTATCATATGAAGTTGTTTAGTGTAATATGAGGCAGTAAGTTATCTAGCATACCTTTACACTTCATTCTAACTTTCCTCTCCTGCAGCATTTGAGTTGTGCTGATCAGCAGATCTACCATGTTAAAAAGATATGGTTCAAATGCAGAAGATTTATTTCTAACGATTAAATGCAGTCATTTAAGCAAAATACTGTAATGAGTACACTGGAGGAAGAATGAAGATAAAGATGTACGATATAAAATGCATATGTTTGGAAGCTGATTCTATTCAGAAAAAGAGAAAATACATTTGTTTGTGTGTTGATTGGGGCAGTAAATCAGTTTTCCATTCCGGTCATGTGCACTACGATTTGTCATTCACAGAGATGTGGCCCGAGGAGGAAGCACTTCATTGTTTGCCATCTAAGAGATAAGCAAGAAATGATAACAGTGACTTTATTTGACTGGCAACCTCCCAGCATTGCCCCTATCAGGTGCCTCCAAGTCAGTGATAACTGTGATTAGGACTGAAGAGGGATGGAGAAGCATGGTCCCTGCTCTGGTGGACCCTCACCTCCTGCAAGTTCCCGCACTGAGAGCAATCCACAGATTACTGATTCAGGGGCAATGGTGCCTCACCACAATCACAGAAATATCATGGGAGTAATCTGTGAATGACAGCTCAAGAGTTTCCATAGCAGAGCCTCAGAGGTTTAGGGCATAGCATGGATTTATATGCTGGCAAGAACCTTTCCTCACTAAGTAAAAACTTACCCAGAAAAAGAATTGTAATAGCAGTGGGAACATGACTACAGTGAGCAGTTGCAGAAAACAGAGCATAAAGGATCAGCATTATACAAAGTGTATTGCCTCGTTTGTTTTCCTTCTGTCTCTTTGTGTTAGCTCTGAGTTAATTATTTTTCTCCCAAAGCGTACTGGGCATAGCAAGGAGTACTAGAATGAAGTGACAGTACCAGCATGCAGTCAATGGGGCAAAGCACCTGGAAGGAGACTAAAGGCACTTAGAGGCTGATCCATTGCATGTTAATAAGATGAGCGATTTAATCTCTATGGGATTTGACATCCAGAAGAAAGGAGGAGGGTTCAGGGAAAGAGAGGGCTGTAACAATTATGTAAATTTAAAAGAAAAAAATATACAAAACCCAGGGAAATTCCTGTACAATGTTTGAATAGCATTTGTTGAAATAACTTGTGTAAATGGGACCTGATACCAGACATTTCAATTACAAGGAGCTGTATATAGAACATGACTGGCTGGAGACATCATTAGGCACTCCACTATTTAGGGATGCCAGAAATAGTGAACACTCCTTCCCAGCCATTGTTAAACAGAGCCTTCCTCACCTTCTCTTACCATCTCAGTAAAGGCATCAGCACAGTTTGCTCGTATTTGCTCAGCAGTCAGGGGGCTGTTCAGTGCAAAGGTCTTTTTCAGTCCTCTTTCATTCCTCACACTGGTTACTGCATCTCTCAAAGCAAAGAACACAGAGCATCCCAAGAAAAATCCTGCCTCACCTATCCCCTGAAAAAGATTAAAAAAAGCCAGTCTCTCATACAGTCCTATTTTGTATTGCATAGTATACACAAGTAAGCTGCACACTCTGAATGACACTATAATTTCTCCATCAATTAATATTTTTATTCTAAATTTTCAGTTTATCACCACATTTAGAAGTAATTCAAGCCTTTAAATTCATCTTGCAGCTTCTGTGTATGGTCTGTTAACAAAACTCTAAAATCACTACTTGCCAGCCATTGAAGTGACACAACAATATCTGGCTTTATGTCTTATTAGCTTCCCTGATGTCATAAATAAAACAATTTACTGGACACTTGTTTGAAATGCTAAAGGAGAGAAACTGAAAACTTATATGTTTTTTATATCACAGTAATTTCTTCGTTTGGCTTGGGATCTAAGAATTTGGCCCCGTGATGATATGCTTACCTTGGATGCATAGATGGCATAAGGATTTTGAGAAGATGACAGCAGGGAAACACTAAACTGTTCTGGAATATCACAAACAGCAGGAATCTTATACTGATCTGGACCCCGAGTATAGAGGACTCCTTCTGAAGAATACTTTAACTCCTCCATTGTGTACAGTCCAATGCCTTGAACAAAAGCACCTTCAATCTTTAAATAAGAAAATAAATAGCTTTTATGTATCCATGTTTAGTTAACCAAGAAAACTTCACCAAGAACTCATTTGTATCACTAGCTGTTACTCTAATATATGTGAGGCCTAATGTACTTCTGTTTGCATAATGAGATTCTTCCACATTTTGGGGCAAATGTAATGGAAAAGCTTTCACACTCCTCTCTCATACCTGAAAAGACAAATGCTTGTATTATGAATTGATGAGATCTGTGGACCAGCCTGCAATGAATAAAAATGTTTCCCTGCTATCAAGTGGGGAAGGCAGGTCAAACAGCTTGGAGACTGTAGATCACAAGCAGGATTTAAGCCCAGTAGATAGAAGACATACACACATACTGGAAGTACTACAGGTTGAAACCACGTGTAAAATTCCAGCTTCTTTGACATCTACAGAGTTCTGACATTAATTCTATTGGAGCAAGTCTACAGGCAAAAGACATTCTAACACAATCTATAATCTAGTAAGAAATTAATGTTTTCTGAATTAATGAGGTGATCTTCACTTCAGATAAGGACAACAGTGTAATAGAAATAAGCCATCAGAAAATTCTTGGCACGTACCTGTCCTATATCCACAGCTGGATTTATGCTGCATCCAATGTCCATAATAATGTCTGTTCTGAGGTTCTGTTAATAAAATTCAGATTTATATTACCCAGAGAGATTGACTGAGCATTAGAAGATGATGTGGGTCAGATGATATGGTATTCAGTGAAATAAGAAATACTGAGACAGAGGCCCCTCCATGTACATAATTTCAGAATAATTTCCAATATCACATCTCAAGCAAAATGGGCTTGGTCTCAACTTTTACAGAAGTTTGGCCAGACAGAAGTCTTTAAAAGACAGCTCTGCCAGATTTTTTCCCATTGTTCAAGGAAATCCCCATACAAATGTACAGGTAGAGGCATATGATCATCAGTCTATAGCCTTTAGCTATCCAGATGGTCAAAAGCCTGGAAATAGTATATTGCTATACGGTGTTTGCTGGCCAACTGGGACAGAACAAGCAAAGAACATGTTAGATGTCAGCCATAACCCAAAAGGTGAACACACTGACATGTGTGTCAGAAGCTGGTTAATACTGCAGTTTTCATTCTGCTCCACCTGTAATTCAAATATACATAGTTGATATATTTACTATTATGTGACTTATTAACCCCAAATCTGAATAACTGTTGGAGCAGCCTTATTCACATTACTTTCAAAACTTCTGACATTCAGTTATTACCTTGTGATCTCCTGTTAGACAGTTAATTTCAACCTCTGAACAAGCAGCTCCAAAAATAAAATATGTGAATGGATGTCCTTCCCCTTTCTCCCAGTCCATGTATTCATTGTAACCTCTGATGGAAGAACAAAGTCCACAAGAAGAAAATTGACCACAGTTTTCATTATAACAAAGCAGATAAGCACATACTTTTGAAACAGCTTGTGCAATCTTAAGTACAAAATCTTAAGGGAAATCTTAAGTAACAGCTCAGAACTTCAAAATTTCATGAAAGCCTACAGAGCATTACTAGTTTAGGTTTGATGCCTCTGGTATTTGTATAAAATGTAGCAGACAAGCAAGCTATTTCCATTCAGGAGAGTCTATAACCAGCATAATCCTAGAAATATACTAAGAAAAGCACAATAACCAAATACAGAATAAACATTTAAGATAATGGTTACTGGGGTAATAGGACATAAAGGAATTCAGAAAAAGGGAGGAAAACTTGTCAGAACCTATTAAAGAATAACTTACAAGAGATAAATTAAAAAGTCAAAATTACAGAAACAGCCTACAGAATTGAGTGAGAGGGTTAAAAGAGGAATATTGAAATAAAGGTGTAATTACTTCTAAGGGAGTGGGATTAACTGAGGACACCGTAGTAGTCAGGAATTAAGGGGTAAATCCAAGGACATGAGAGGACAGTGAAATGTGGTATCTTCCAAACATGGGAGCTATGTGACTAAGGTGTATTTTCTGACAATGTATGACTGAAATGTCTTCATTAAGCATATTTAAGATTACCATAAAGCAATTATAATACAGAACCATGCACTGAAAAATGGATACACATAATCCATATACTCAACTTCTCATAATCTGTTTACCTCAGCTGTCTTTGAGATTCTTGGCAAAAGAGAATATAATTGGGTAAGGACTAGATAAATACAGGACCTGAGGCTCAGGAATCTGCAGATGTTTTTGGACACCATTAAATATTGAAGCAAAGTATGACTGTTGTTCATTACTTTGGTGATACTGACATTGCTGAAGGGCTGCATAAACAGAAAACATTCTTGAACTGGCTTAACAGCAGGAAGGGACATTTTATTTGGACATTTCTCAGTGTTTTATAAAAGTATGGGTTTCCTAAGTGCCCTTTCAACTTACTCCAGACTGCCCAGAAACCTGACAAGTTGGTATTGATAAGGAAGAACCACCAGCAGAAGAAGAGAAGAGATAAGGCACAGCAGGCTAAGAGCAAAGCTTTGCTTTGAATCCCACCTGAGTTATAGCACAGAAATTTTCCATTTCTGGCTCTTTAAAAACACTGTGAAAGAACTCAAAGAAAAAGGACCAAGAGACTGCTCTGAGAGCAGTGGGAATGATGATATTTATAGCTTATAGCAATCCAGCCTCCTATAGTTTATTTACTATATCCCACTTTGCACATGACTGTTACAGGAAACAGTCACTTTTTTGATGCTTTCTGATATGCTAAATGTCAAATCATGGAGCAAATACGGCACAAAATATTCTTTTAATACTTTCTAGAGAGTCCACAGAGGAGTAGGCATAAATTAACACCTAAACTTTATGCTTCCAACCCTCCATATATCAACTAATTATATAAAACATAAAATGAGCTATTAGAAAGACCTGTTAGACAGGATCTTCTCTTTACAGCATTAATTATCTTCAGAAATCAGTCCTTGTTTAATTTATGCATTTTTAAGGAACAAAAATATATTACCTAAAATAGCCAGTAGCTGAAAGGCTCACACTCTGTTTAAAAGCTTCTTTAATCTGTAAAATATAGCAGTGCTTGTGGTAAACCAAGGAAGGAGTCAGGGAAGAACACAGCATAGACATATTTACTTTATTTACATATATATGCTTACCCACACATATTTACTTAAAACCCAAACTGTAAAAATTGTAAAGAAAAGAAGACAAGCTGAATTAAGCATGTTTAGCTGCACATGGTGTCTAGTACTACAGAACTAAACCTCTCTTGCATGAAAATCTGAATTCTTTTGGCAATACATGAAGGAATAGACCTGTCAACAGTGGTGTTCATGCAAAATCTTTATTACTGGTAATACCATAGTCAGAAAGGGCCCTGCTCAGTTTTTCTGATCAAGTTCAATAGAGATGGGTCCCTCTCTGTCCGCTAATCAGATCTGATTGATAAGTCACTGTTTTTATTGGGTCACGTGACTGTGTGCATGTGCAACCTTTTGCTTTTTCTTTGATAAACTGCCTTTATCTTAACCCACTGACTTGTTGGGGTTTTTCCATCTTATTTTCTTCTCCTATCTCACTGAGAAAGGGAGTGATAGAGCAGTTTGTTGGGCACCTGGAGTCCATCCAAGGTCAAACCGCTACACTAGCATAAAAGATCTGCATGACCTATTTGCACAAAAATGACAGTTTTCAAGAGGAATGCTCTTAGTAAAGTTCTGCCAGTCAGAAAAGTGACAGTATGAGGTCCCAAATCTACTCCCTTTGATTGATTCTCATTTTAGATTTACTCAGTTTACAAGTCAAGAATTTCTTTTGAGGTTTTTGGTTGGTTTTAGTGACTTTCTAAGATGTAGTTACTTCACTGCATATATTAGCATTCCTTCTTTGGTCAGCCATTTCTGATAATACTTTTGGTGTGTCTGAATGATCCAAAGTAATTGTATACCAATTAGAGGAGATCAGGTGTTTCAGATCTGTGTTTTATTGTTATTCCTAAGCAGGGCTTACACAGAAAAGCCAAGGCCTTTTCTGCTTTTTGGATTGCCCCACTGGTGAGGAGGCTGGAGGTGCCTGGGAAGCTGGGATAACTGATTGAGGGGATATTCCAGACTGTATGGAATCATGCTCAGTTTATAAAGTGGGGGGAAGGAGGAGGAACAAGGGTGACATTTGAAGTGCTGACATTTGAAGAAGTTTGTCTTCCCAAACAACCATTACATGTGACGGCACCCTGCTCTCTGGAGATGGCTGAGCACCTGCCTGCCCATGGAAAAGAATGAAAGAATTATTTGCTTTGCTTTGGTTGTGTGTATGGCTTTTGCTTTACTCATTAAACTGTTTTTAATTCAACTCACAAGTTTTCTAGCTTTCACTCTTCTGACTCTCCCTGATTCCACTTGTGGGGGAATGAGTGAGCAGTTGTGTGGTGCTTGATGACTGGCTGAGGTTACACCACAACATATTGTAACCCTTTAGGTACAGGCTGTGGACCAAATCTGAGACTAAGCAGGCCTGGCTGCACCTAGACTCCTCTGGAAAGTTTAGAAAGCCAGGGGATCTCACTGATGCTCTTGACTCAACAGGAGGGACCATAATCTGATTTTACTGTAATCCATTGTAACGGATGATAGATATTGCACTGCCAATATTTAAATACTGTACTAACAATAAGTCTAATTGTTAACATCCACATTATCATTTGTGCCTGCCCAAGAACCTTCTCTTGACTTTCACCTTTTTGTGAAATAGCCTGTTTATACAGTTTTTAATTTTAGGATTATTAGGCTGAGCAGATTTATAGACTAGAGTATATATATCACAGTTTTTGCCAGCACTCAAACACATTCAGTAGGATTTACAGGTCTTACCCAATCATTCCAGGTCCCTGTTGGGTTCTTCTTGATGATGGGCTGCAGGCGTTTCAGAAGAGTTTGACAAGCATCCTGGTGAGAATCAGGACAATATATAACAAAATTAACACTATACATTTGGTATTATTCAAGTTATGTTCTAGTTACTATGTCATTAATATATGATTTACTGTCATCTTAGTTTGAAAAGGTATTGCAGGAAGTGTCATATTAACTACACAGACATAAAATTTCTAATGGCTAAGTTACAAGAGCTGGGATCTGTATGAATCAGTACATTTCAAACACGAACAGGGTGCAAGATTTGTATGGGACTAGTTAGAAACAGATTTGGTCAAGTATAAGCCTTTTTGGAAAAGTACAGATCATATTCTGAAAACTCATAAGCACCATTACTGAGAAACTGTCAAGTCATGTTTCTTCTTGGCCATCTCCAGCAGTATTATTGGTAATCCCAAACTTGATTTTTATGGGGTCACTAGGGCCTAAAGTTTGGTAAGCACACACCTTATGGGATAGGGTATTTTTTTCAACTAAATTCTTTACCTTCACAGCCATGCCATTGACATCTGTCCCTGCAGATCCTATTGAGGCACATGCATTGGGAACGGTTGTTGTGCTCGTTTCACAGAAGTGAATAGATGACATGGGGATGTTCAATTCCCGACTAGCAACCTGTTCCAGGAAGAACAACATATTTTTAGTTTTAGAAAAAATCTGAACACTCCAACAATTCCCCAGTATTTGCTAGAAGTCAGTGATAGCAGGAAAAATAAAAAAAAATTAGCAAGTTCTCTTCCAATCTCCAGCTGAAATCATTCTGTCCAATTTGGTAGTACTAAGAAACAGAAAAGGACAATGTTTTAGCTTTACTCAAACTCTGGATTGAGACTCTGAAGTCCAACATTCATTCCTGATTTTTCTGCTTATACCTTATAAGGCTTACAGCAAATTATGCAAGCCCAGATACCAAACTTTCATTAACTTGATAAATATCTTTACAGATCTGTCTCAGAATTATCCATTAACCAAACAGGATCATAATGTTATCATCATTACTATACCAATCTGAATAATCTCTGCCTTTTTCACTATGGGCTTTATAGGATCAAAACTCTTAGTTCTAATAAGCCTTTTCCCATGCTATTGGAAGAACAAAACCAGTCTAATTTTCCCTTCCTTCTGCCTCTATGAATTAATGAAGGTACCTTTGCTTTCTATTTCTGTCAATGTAAAGAAGTAGTGGCTATGCCGATAAAGAAACTGTCCTGCTGGCACACTAACCAAAAAGAAAACCTTTGCACTGTTTATATGCATGACAGATAAAGCACATGGCAGTATTTATTTAGATGTTTTGTTACCTGGATCATTTTTGTATGAATACCCTGCCCCATTTCAATTCCACCATGTGTCAGAAGGACAGACCCATCAGTATAAATATGAACCAGTGCAGCAGCCTAAAAAAGAAAAACAAAATCAAGATCAGACTAGTGAGCAATCTGTTCTATGTAGTGGTGAATTGAATAAAAAAAAAAAAAGACAGGAAAAATTTGAAAGTCTACTCTCTGCTTTTTCACTATAAAGAACATCAAAAGAAAAAGATACAAATCCTTGGTGGTCTGCTTTTCCTGTTAGTAGATCCTGAAACAAACCTACACTTGGCAAGAGCATCTCAGTGGTTCCAAAAGAAGCTGGAAGAAACCTCTCACTAAGGGGAGGGGCTCTAAGTTCAATTTGCTACAAGTTCCATTTTCTCATTTACATGTAGGTTTTTAAATGGTATAGGTTGAATTTCCGAATGACATTTTTTTCCTAGACTCAGCTAGATATAGCACTGTAGACTACAAAGACCCTGTGACTTTAATATTGAACAGAGACAGCCAATTTGATATGACATAAGTCAGTAAATTAATTAATTTTGAAGTGATAGAATGTTGTCTGTTTCAGAAGCACTGGATGCCTACATTAAAAAAGTGGAAGGACCAAAAATACTCCTGTCCTTTTTTCCATGGCATCAGAGGATTAAAGTCTGTAAGAGCAGCATCCCATAGTACTTCCATGAGCAGAAAGAGGAGATTCAGAACTATTTCTGGAGTGGACAACTTATTCAATGAACATTTTGCTATCAGTCTTCAAAAACTTTTTCTAAGTGTGTTCAACTCACCTATTCCAACACTGCACCACAGCAGATGGGACCAACATTTAAGTAGGCAGGGCCCAAACTGCCTGAGTCCTGAAAACCAAACAGTTTTGATCTCAGCTTGAAAAGAGCTACAGGCTACTACAGCCTCTTCAGGGAACAGTCATCAGGAGGATCATAATTTCCCAAGAAAAAATAACATATTTCTTTCGTATCCTACGATAAAGTGATGGTAATTTGTCTATGGATAAATGCTGAGCTCACTTGCTCTTAATGAAACTCACCTGAGAAAGGTAAGGTGTGCTTACTCCAAATGGAAATTTCATTGGTACAATGGCAATCCCTCTTTTCTTCCAGTAATTTTGTTTGTTAAATTCATTGATAGCTGTTCTCCTACTGCAGTACGCAGATTTTTCCATACATTCGTTCCAACATCGTATTAAATTCTGTGGATCAAGTTTTTGTTTGAAGTGTGTCTGCTCGTTCTTCTTATACATATTTATTTCCCTAATCTGAAAAAATGAAATTACAGCTATCACAAAATGCTGTTAGTCAGACTGACCATCTGGGGGTTCTAACAGACAACAAGAAGATATCTGTGTTTTTTTTGAACATTACCATTTTGTAAGACCATGGTATTCATTCAACAACCAGACACCAATTTAAAAAAATATTAATTTCAGCACAAATGATGTTTGACTTAGAAAAGACTTGTTCAAACAATTAAACTAATCTAAAGATTTTTAACTTTCCAGTTCCACAGACTTCATTTCAGGAGTGAAGATGCCTTCATTTAGTCACCTTTTCTGGTGATAAACCAGTTTTATCTGCAACATCTGTTATCCAAGTTTCTGTCACCAGTCCTGATTGAGGAAAGCCAAAGCCTCGGAAGGCCGTATTTGATGGCAAGTTTGTTTTGCAGACATAAGCCCAGCATCTCAAGTTGGGAATCTTGTATGCATTGTCGATTTTTAATAAAGATACTTCTGCTACCTGAGGTAGGGGACAAACAGATATATTTTAATGTCAGAACAATGCTTCTTTCAAATTTACATTTATATCTTCCTCATCTCTTGTATAAAAGACCTTAACTTGAGACACTTAGCTTTAAAATTGAGTTTCTGGCAATCACTGGTAGTAAGAGTACTCATGCACACATACAGAATTCATTAATACATTTTTCATGCAATATATTAATTTTCAGGGTTTTTTTATATAAAATACAGGTGATGTTACTTGTACTTGAATGTTATCAGTAGTTAAGGATGTAACAGATCATTTTTTGATTGATTTTGCTTCTACTTTAATACCAAAAGCCAAACTAAAAATAGGCAGATTGGATTTAAAAAGCAAGAGTAGCTATGAAAGGAACTGATGAAAGCATTCTGAACCTATCACATCCTATGGAAATCCACGTTTAAGGTTTAGTTCCACCAGAAAGCCTATGCAGTGCAATCTACAGTGTCTTCTTGTTCTTAAGGCTTTCATTTAGAGGTTTTACATGACAAACACAAAACAACATGAAGAGGAAAATCCTATACTAGAGAGTCCAAATTGGGCTCTAGGAGTCAGTATAAAAAAAAAATTAAAAATGTTTTGATGCCTGATGAAGAGGTCACTGTCTCTCTTCAATGTTAAGTAGATTTCTCAGAATGACAAATTTAAGCCTCAGTTATTCTCACTTGGTCCAGTAGCTTCACTGTATCATTGTATGACTTCATCTTAAGACAGTTCTGACATGATCTGCATTAATGTACATGCTTCTAATAATGGATTTTCTCCTACCCTAGGTTATTTTTCATAGACAAGCTAGGCAGCAATACCATGGGCAGTTACACTGACAGATTTCAGGATGCAGAAAATAATCATGGGTGGGGCAATAAGCAGATGAGGGGTAGTACAGCAAACACTTCAGTTACAGCTAGAATAGCCTGTACAAACACAAATACCTAGTGATGATATCGAAGCAAGAAACATTTTATACTTTGCAGACCTGTCAGTGAGGAGCTGAGGTTTATAGCACTACAAATGCTGACCCAGTACAGAAATGTACATCAATAGCAACAGGATAACTATCACTATGAATTTTCTGAAGGCCAAGAAAGATCTTCCCAGCCCTAAAGCTTTAGGCAGGGACAAATGCAGGTACTACATGTTTTAAAAGGAACACATTGTTAGATGAAATGTTCATAACAGAAAAATAAGCCTGAGAAAACATTAATGAAGTCAATGTGTAGGGCAATATAAGAAAGTAGATGCTTCACTAAATTTAGTAAGTAAATGTTAACCTGCTCAGAGTAATTCTTCCAACAACCCACAATCCCTATATCAAAAGTCAATATGATTAATAATACACGGGCAATGGAATTTGGCTTAATAATTTTCCAGCTAATGATTCCTCTGTGTTGTAAGGTTTGTCAGTACAAAATCCTTACCAGGACAGATTCATCAGGGGTACATCCTCCATTAACATAATATTTGGCATCCACAGCTGTGATTCTACCATCATTCATGAAGCCAACCTAGAAGGATCAACAGTACATTATTTAGAATTCAGTATTCATTTGTTTCTGAAGCACTTGTATATTTTGAAAATTAACATAAGCCACACATTCAGGGTCATACTGCACTATTAATTTCTGGGCAGCATTCTGAAACTATAGAAGGGCAAGAGAGAAAGAAACCATGTTTCTAAGATATAGGCTTTCCCTCCTGGTATCTGATCTGTATAGGTACAGCATAGAACAAGCAACATAAGATCATTGAGAAAGGCAGAAGCAGTGGCTTCCTCTCTATTGCCTGAGCTGGCTGACAAGAGTGTCACCTAGGAGTGTTTACTGTAGATGAAATCAAATCCCACTTTAGTGGTAGGAACAGTGTCTGGCAGATGGAGTATGACATTTATGTTTATTAATGAAGAAATGTTATCTTTATCTCACATCTCTCTTTTCACCTGTTTCTGCTAAGAGTTCCTGAATTCTCAACATGAGCTACAGCTCATTTTCAGCTTTAGGGATGCATCTTATAAAACCTCTCTTACTTTACCTATGTCGAATGTCATTCAACTTGCTTAGTATTAACAGCTAAATTTTCAGCAGCCTTAGGTTGCAAGCAGTGAACTTTCACCTAGGTTTGTTGAACTGTTACCTAGTCAAGTAAAAGAAGACCTCAGAGTCAGTTCAAGCAGAAAGATAAGGAAGCTACAATCTCTAGCAAAGGCTGCATACTTAGATACAAGAAAATAAATGGCCCAGCTACAGACAATGAAAGAAACCCATGAAAAATGTGAAGACTCCAGACCCTTAATATTACTATTGGTTTGTACTGTCACGTGAGGGATGAGGAGCTTAGGCTGTAAGGGTATAATTGCCCAGGTATAACCCCATTGTTGAGAGTCTCTCTTTGAAGGCATTCGACTTGAGCTGTAGTACTATTAACTAAAGGTACTCTTTAAGAGAAATCTTTCATCTTATTGATTCAGCAGAAACTTGGACTTAAACCCCATTATGGTGGCTGACATAAATAATTTATATGACAAGTAGAGAAGGAAAAGAAGGCAGAAATTATCCCAATGAATAATTATGACTGACGACAATACATGGGCAGGGACAAAATGAATTTCCTCCACAGTGCGAGTTTTCTACATGACACTATGAAAAACTAGCTGCTTCTTTGTGTGAATCTAACCACATGGAGGGTTTAAAATAAAGTTCTGCCGAAGTCTGCTATAGGTTAGCTTCCTGTTCCCAGAAAGAAAGACAGAAAGAGCTATAAAAGGATAAACACCATGAAGGAACTAGAAAAATAATAAAACCCTGAAGAGAAGAGGTAGAAGCAGAAAAAGGAGCTGTACTTTATCTCTCGGGTTCCTGGCTTGTAGTTTCGTTTTAATATTGAACTGGTTATACCAATTTCCATTAATAGAAGACATTACACTGAAATACTGTGTAACATTAACACTGAAATACTTATTCACAGAATATAGGTGGGTATTTTTCCACTGGATTCTTGTGGCACTCACTTTATATTTAGCAATGAAAGGATGTCGGCCACCAGTGATTACCATATCATCCTCTCGGCTCAGAATAAGACGGACTGCTCTGCTAGTTCTAAATCCAAAAAAGAAAAGTCAAATTGCAATTAAAATAAAGCATGTTATTTATAAGATGGCCATGGCTACTCATAATGTACCTAGATCCAGCCATGCATATAAACATGCATTTAGATTAAACTTAACTTTAATAAGTCTGAACATATGCTTAACACTAGGTCCAGAGTTCATATTTCTCACATTAACAATCATGTCAGAATTTTCATTTCATCTCTTGAAAACCAACAAGATAACTCAGTGCAAACTACTCCTGAAGAAATTCTTGGTATTAAGTGTTTGTCACCTACAGAATCAAACTGGAGTGTCTTGGAATGAAACCAAAATATGATTAACAATAAAAATATGAAAATTAATATAGAAATGCATATAATATTTAAAATAATTAGTTTAGAAAAATGGACATAAGGTGTAAAATAAGGTCCTAAGAATAAAAAAGTTTAAAGCATTAAAAAAAAATTAGCATGACCTTTTATTAAAAAAATAATGTGGCCAAAAATAATCAAGAGCAAATTTTATACCAGTGACAGTAGAAGCAACATCAACCTACTGAGCAACCCCTCAGATGACAAGATCAGGCTAGATACAGGATGTAGCCTGATGTGAATTCTGCAGCAAATCAGTTACAGTTTTAAAGGAGTTCATTATGCCTGACAGCTAATTGCCAATATTGCCCTGCCAAATTTGGAAGATGGGGGATGGAGCTTATGTGTTAACGTTTTTAAACTAATTCAAGCAGTATTAGAAAAGCCATAACACCTCATAGATTTAAGCTAATTTTGATGATGAAAAGATGTTGAGGACTGAACTAGAGCTGCTTTTTCTTAAAAGCAGCTCCACTCATGAACTCTTCCTTCTGCATTCTGCTGTGTCAGTGAAGTTCACAACTGGAGGGTTAATGTCATGTATGTACAAAGTCTCAGTAGTTAGGGACTGGTCCTTTTGAGTATTTCTAGCTTATACTAACACCAACTTCTCGCAGCCCATTAATTTAGTTGAGGCTAGGGCTGCTTAACATAAATAGTCCAACGAAAAAAACCAAAGAAATGCACCAAACAGTCTTGTAAAATGTGAAATCAGGATTGTATGACTTTCTGACTAGCAGCTTTGGAAAGGGACAAAACATTTTAACCAAAATGGAAAACTTGTTTGCTTCATTTTTTTTTTCATATTCCAACATGTACGTACTGCACTTACTTGTTTGCTGCCACAGCAGCAACTGATGCCAGCAAGCCAGTTCTCAGGATTTTCCCACCAAAAGCTCCACCAACTCGTTTAACATGGCACATGATCCTGTTGGCTGGAACACCTAAACTCGCAGCTACCATCTCCTGTAAAACAAGTTTTAATATTTTACACCAACTCAAACCAAGCTTAAAACCTAGGTTCCGAAATAGAAACCTTTTTTAGGAAAGGGTTCCATAGATGTTTCTGTTCTTCTACCAGATGACTTTAACTTTTCCCTTACGCTAGGTTAAAAAGAAAAGAAATAACAACAACAAACTCTCAACAGCGCTCACATTTCAAATCTTTACCCTGCAGACTGTGAAAAGGCCATCGGCCGATATGAATAATAATACCCTTGAATTACATTATCTAAAGAGTAAGAAGCTTCAGGCATAATAAAAATGGATTAGTATACAGTATCTATTAGTTTTATTTTAAATTAAAATGAAAGGTATTATCTTAGTAATAAAAATATCTGTGTCTTAACAATCTAAGGCTGTGCTAGTGTCAGGAATGTTTTGCTTGAAATTACTTTCTCAAACACAAAGTTCTTCATACTACCTGGCTAATGGCACTAGAATAATAATAATGGCAATTATAAAAGGAACTGAACTGGGATTTGAACACAAAAAAGGCCAGTGTTGAGCTGAAATACCATCAGTTTCATGCACTATGGCTATTGCTATTCAGGCCACAAGCTATGGCATTTTTGTTTTTTCATTTACCATCATGACAATGTTTAGAGCGCTAGAACACCTCTACTATGAAGTCTGAGACACTTAGAGTTGCTCAGCCAGGAGAAAACAGCTCCAGGGAGACTTTACTGTGGCCTTTCAAACTATAAAAGAGGTTTACAAGAAATAGAGAAAGACTTTCTAGCAAAGCTTGTATTGACATAACAAAGGGCTACAGTTTTAAACTAAGAAGCCAGGTTTAGACTGGACAAGAGGAAGAAATTTTTTATAATGAGGGTGGTGAAGCACAGGAATAGGTTGCTCAGAGAACTTGTGGACACCCCATTACTGGGAGTGTTCAAGGGCACATTGGATGGGACTTTGAGTAATTTGGTGCAAAGACATCCCTGTCTGTGGCAGGGGTGTTGAATTAAATAGTCTGTAAAGGTTCCTTGAAACCCAAACCAATCTGTGATTACGAGACTGCTGCATGGAGTAGCAGTCTCCTCTACAGCTTTTAGACTTGACCAGATCCTCAGTAGGTTCTGACTCTGTAGGGAACTGATTGCTCCTTATTCCAGTGGAAAAATAAGAGAGATGGAGGAGCCTCAACATTCCATGGGGAGTTTTTCATGCTTACAATAGTGGAGTATGTAGTACTTTGTTCAAAGGGAAAGGAGAGACTTATCCTGACAGTGTAGTGCTCAGTGTTTATCAGAATACAGCAGTACTACAAAGCAGCTGTTATTGGACAGTCCAGATGGGCAGTTTCATGTTTCTATGGCTTCTGTTCGTGTTTACAGATTTGTAAGCCAAACTTTGAAAGCTCTATTGTCACAAGTCCAAGCACTTCCTCTGAGAATGCTCTGCATTACCTGAATAATTGCTGGATGCTGTGTTGACACATACAAATCCATTTCTTCATCCTCTCCTTTTGGAACAGCAAGCATACTCTGAGTCTCCATGTAAAAGTGTTTCTGTCCCCCAATGCAAATCTCCCCTGATCGAATGAGAAAAACACAATTGTAACTGAGGGAAATGGACGGAAGAAATGAACCAGAGAACTAACAGCCCACCAGCATGTAAATTATGGCAATTGGTGTCAAATCCTCTGATATTTTTTTTGTGTGAAAGAGCAACATCTAAAGTAAAAACACAAGTTAAAATCCTTGTAAGATTAAATTTGTCTTGTTCCCGTAGCATCACCAGAACTGAATTAAGATCAGACCACTATTGCCCACAAGTGGTGACAACAATAAATAAAGCATAGATAAGTTAAACAAAGCATTCACATTCTGGAGCAGGGCAAGAAGAGGGCCACCAAGATCATCAGGGGGCTGAATCACGGGATATATGAGAAGAGGTTGAGAGAATTGGATTTACTCATCCATAAGAAGAAAAGGTTTAAGAAGAGATCTTACTGCTGTCTACAACTACCTAATGGTGTAGACAAGAGCAAGCCAGACTGTTCTCAGAGATTTCCAATGGAAGGATAAGAGGCAAAGAACACAAGAAATCCCAGCTAGATATAAGAAAAATCAAAATCAGTATGAAAATGATGGAACACTGGATGCCTACAGATGTTGCATAATCCCATATTTGGAGATACTAAAAACATAACTGGACATGACCCTTAACAACCTGCTCTAACCAGACCTGCTTTAAGTAGGAGGTTGGACTAAAAGACTCCTTTCCAACCTCATTATTCTGTAACATTTTCAAGAACAGATGATGCAGAAAGTTTGAATGTAGTAGCAGAACAACAATACACTAGGTTTAGTCAGGTTGTCTTCCAAGTGCCCAAGAGTTTTCTCCTAAAGGTCTAATGACTTTACCTATACAAAAAAGGTACAACTGGGACTTGAGCACACAGACAAACTCAAATGCAAGCAACCAAAAATTCCTCATCAAATGTATTCTACAGTTTACCTTCAATTATATTATCTACAGTTTCAAATGCCTCTTCAACATTTCCTTGTTCTAATTTTCTTTTTGGTTCAAAGAACGAGTTGTGTTTTATAGCTTCCTGCAATGGAGAAAAAGAGAAATGGGGGGTTTTAAATATTTTTAAGATTCCCAGCTTGTTGCAGCATTTTAGTCTAAGGACTAACACCATTATCTTCAGAGATTGGAACCACCAGCTACCAAGTCAATGAACAACTGTATTTCATCACCTTACTGTCTGTCATTATTGAGTTTGTTTATTCAATACCAGCAATTCTTTCCTGATGCATCTTGTGTAACTGATGACAGCAGTTTCTGAAGGAAATGCATTCAGTTTATTCAACCTGCTCTTCTCTGCCATACATTGAGGAAGTGACCAAGACACCACAGAGTAAGAATGCAACCACATCATCCAAAGAGTGATGCCAGTAAGAGGGGAAGAAATCACAAGTAAGTAAAGGTGGGATCTATTTATACATCAGCATTTGCTTTATTTCTAATAAAATTTCATTGAAGTTTCAATTCCAATGAAATGTTAACAAAATTTGTCAGCCTTTATCTATTTTGCTATCAGACAGACCACACCCACATTATTAAAACAAGTTGTAAAGTGATTACCAGTACTTCTACTCTCTTTAATCCAGTGCAATCCATATGTGACTCCCACATTAAACTTCTAAAATGCTGTACATGCCTAACAACTTTCCTTCATATTCCCCTAACAATTCCTATGTCTCCAGCCTAGATTTCAAGCTAGACAACAGATAAAAAAAGCTAATCAGGAGCTGACTGTTAGCCACTATACATATGCTGACTGACCAGCTGGTAACTACCAAAAAATTAGAAACCAGCATGCTCATTGTCTTTTCCTCACTAGGAGCATTAGAAGAGGTTTTTTTGGGTTTTTTTAATGTTTTTTGGGTTTGGGGTTTTTTTTTTTGCATTCTAATGTTTCTTATTGTAAAACTTGTGAAAACTTCATACTTTTGAAACTTTGCCTGTCACAAGTGGTCAAAATTAGACAAAAGGTTAAAAATTTATTTATAGGGAGATACTCAGACTGGTTAATTGGATGTTTAAATTCATCTTGTTTCCTTAAAAATTAAATTTAAAAAGCAACTAAAGTGTATGAAGTACTGTTTTTATTAATTAAATAGGTAAAATAATAAAAAAGCAGAAGAAATTTTTAGTACCTCAATTGTTAAAATTACTGGTTCCAGCATTTCATACTCTATCTTCACTTTTGCAGCTGCTTGTTTGGCATGAACATCTGAATCTGCAACTACAGCACAGACAATCTGACCCACACAAATCACCTGTAAAATACACATCACGTGATAGAGCAGTGAATTCAAACAATTCCCATGTGTGCTATTGATATTCTTATGTAACCACCGCTTATGTTTCCTGTTCAGAAGTTTTCTTTCACTTAAAACTTTTGTATTTTTACATCATCCATGAAGCAAACAAATTACAAAAATGCCACTATAACTACAGAATTGAGGAAAATACAGTATTCACAAATGGATAGTGGGAGGATAAAAGGCTGGAGAAAAAACAGTTAAAATTAAGAAAATCAGTTGCAAAAAAAATTGTAGTTATACCTCATTTCTTGCAAATATAATCTCTGGATCATCAGAAAAATAAAATTCATTTGCAGCTGGCACATCATGAACTGTTATGACATCAAACACACCTGCTCCTTTTAGGGCCTCTGAGGTATCTATAGATCTGATTGGGATATGGGAAGAGACAAGTGCAATTCATTAATTTTACAAACTGGTCACAGAGGAAGGGAACACAATACAGAGGTATATTTCTTGTACTACCAAGATCTGCTCATAGGCACACGCGTGTCTTTTCTTTCTGTCTTTCATTCAGGTATGTGGAGAAGTACAGATAAAAGACAATTTAAGATTCTATTAACCTGCTTCATTTTTAGGAGATACAACAGGGAAATCATTGGCCCATTAGATTGCCTGAACTGCATTGGTTTAATAGAAATCACTGCACAATTATGAAGTTACAACTGCAACTTTCTAAGACCTAACAGCCTACATATATATTGCAAGATACAAATACTCATCCCTCAGATGGAGGATTCACGTAGAGAGATATAAAAGAAATTACAAGAAGAGTATAAATGGAGAAGGAATGGAAATGTTGAGGTGTAGAAGGACCAGAAGGAACAGCAGAAGGTCTATAGGATAATGTATTTTGATAGCATCTAATTCAGCAGGTCATCAGATCCCAGCACATGTACAGGCATCTTCTCTGGACACCCAGATCAGGAGACAAAGGAGACTGAATAGATCCTATTGACTTAAGAATAAGTCAGGAGATATGACAAGGACTCTTGTCATATTTCTAGCTAGAAGCCCCAGTCCTGTCATGACAATATGACATGCCATATGTCATGACAATCCTGACTAGATCACTTGACTATGTCTTGGTGCCTAAATGTTGAACAAATTGCTAGAATAGGTGTATCCTGGCAGCATAAAAGCATACATGAAAACAGTTTTCTTACAAAATAAAATCCTCTTCTCCACTCTTTCTCCTATTAGCCTCATTTGAGCTTTGCCATCTTGCTGCTGCAGTGTTGCCACACTATTTCCTACATTTTGAACAATTTTTTTCTTTCATCATAGACATGAGGTTTCAAAGCAGTGTTGGTAAAACTGAATCTTGAAGTCTGCTTGCACTGCACAACTGAGCACTTTGTGAAGGTAGCTAGGCTAGCTCTGGGCTGGCTTATGGAAAAACAGCTCACCTTTACTAGTACAGTAAAATGGGGTGAGACACTTAAATACTAACAAACCCTAAACTAGTGCAATGATAGTTCTTCCAGCATGGATTTGCCTGCAGATATCAAGCATGCAGTTCTGTCCATGCATAACTCATTAGTCTCTCTAAAAATCTCAGGCAGTAATTCATGATGACACTTTCTTCAGGTCCACTTTGAACACTTACACAATCTTAGCGTGAGCTCTGGAACTAGTGACAGCAGCCAGGAAAAGCTCCCCATCCACAGGAGGGAGGTCATCAATGTAGACTGCTTCACCAGTGGCATGCTTTATCCCAGACTGGTGCATAACAGGCCGTCCTACAGGGTCCTGGGGAGACTGGCTCGGCCCTACGTCCTGTACAGTCAGAAACACACACCCAGCACTCCCAGTTAAAAAAAGAACAGTCTTGTTACTCAGAAAATTACATGAATGAACAACTGCTCATACTATCATCTTCTGGTTCAACATTGAAAGAGATGTGGCTGCAGGAGGTGACTGCTGCTCATGGGGATTTCTTTCTCCTCCTTCCTTCTCTTAAGGACCCTTCCAAGAACACCACACAGGTTTGTTAGATTTCTTTTCCTTAATTATTTACATCAAAGTGACAAACACTGAACTTTTTCAGAAGGACATATTCCTCCCTTACTGAATGATGTCATGAAGCTTCGATAATTTTCTGAATTATTCTCACAAGATTCTGCTCTGAACGTTATCAGTATCAGGTGGTGTATTGTGAGCTATTTGCAATGATTTCTAGGATTTGTCTTCCTCACTGTAAGAGTAAGTCAGTGACAAAATACTGCCTAAATATTTTCTTCCCAATTATTTCCTTGCACCTGTGTATGAATTTAGTGTCTTAATAATCTTACTTTGCTAAGATTTTCTGAAAATTAATTCAGTGTTTCCTGTTAAATCTGCCACATCAACTAATGTTGCCAAATTCCAGCACACCTTTCCAATTTTTTGTGCTGGTATTCATGCTAACTTTTTTCCTTTTCTATATTTAGAATTAGCTAATTGCTTACAACTTAAAATGTTTTTACTTCTAAAGCTTCCAGCACACAGGTGCTCAGGCTACACACTTCTCCTTCCTGCACTTTCTGGCACACTGTCTGTTATTGGCACAAAGTCAAGAACAAACACTCTTCACTTTACTGCCTAAAGCTCCTCAAATGGATGTCTCAGCCAAACCACTTCAACATTTCCAGAAAAGAATGACAAGGTATTTGGATTTCAGGATAAGCTTTTTTCTTTTTTTTTTTTTTTTAATCTTAATTTTAAAAGCTTAACAAAATCCAAATGAAGGAGTGCAGACAAAAAATATGGCCTTACAAAATCTAAATAGAAATTTAAAGTGGAAAACGTCAAATCTTCTGGGTTTCTAATATTTTATTACTCAGTGCCAATTGATCTGAGTAACAAATTGTTTCTATTTCTGATGTTCAGTTACTTTATTACAGATGGTGAAAAAATTGGGGAAAAGTCACAGAGAAATAGTTCCCTTGATCCTGGCTCCTCTTATTGCCTGTTGTCTTTTCTTTATTTTTAATAAGAATAATAATAAACACTCTGAAGGATTAAGATACTTTGAACAAAGTTAAAGTATTTAAAGCTAAAGTGTTTTTCTAGGGAATACCCAAAACTTAAAACAAAAGTTTACCTATATTTCATTTGAATTTTTCTTTAGGTTTTCAAAAGTTGGTATTTTGACTTGCGTATTGAGGGCACCAAAACATCAAAAATCATTGTAGGTGTTTCCACCAGGAACTATTTATATGATGAGCTCAGAAAATACCAAAGGTGTCCTTTGCTGCTCTCTGCTGTTGATTTAGGACAACCTGCTTGTGTTAATTAGAGCACACAAACATCACACACCATCTTAATTCCTAAATCTACAGTAAGACCTAAGAGCTCCCTGAGATCTTGAGACAACAACACCATAGCTATGCTACACTATATATATATATATTCCATACCTGGGCTTTTCAATATTTTTTGTTTTCATTTCTTTCTAACTGGGTTGCACACTGCAGTAAACCAATTTTAAGCAGTCTGACAATGGAGTTTGCTTAGCATATTTATCAAAGAACTGTCTAGAAGAAGTGAGTATACCCCAGAATCTAATTTTAAAAACAAGGGCTCTCCAAATGAGATACAGTTAAAATCAACCACTAAAACCCTCTTTCTTCCAGGCCCTTGGAAAATCTGTACCTGACCTTCACATCAAGGCTCATGCTTGAACTGTGACTTCACCTAGTCTTATAAAGCACACAGTGTTAGAATGAAATCACTTGCCTGGTATATTTGGATACTCTGGGGCATTCTGGTTTTGAAATCTTTTAGGACACTCCCATATTCCATAGGTATGCCAGGAAAATGGCAAGGATCCTGAAAAGTAAGTGAATTACAACTAAAACTCACATTTTGTACATTACAATTAAAAAAGCCAACAACTAAAATCAAACACAAAATCTTCATACAGGAAATGCTTTCCAGGCTCAAACTAGAAAGGCTCTAAAAAAGAATAAACAATGTAGGGGCTTTAGACATCACTAAATAATATTTGAAAATATATTGGATTCAACAAATATGCTTTTTAAAGTAAGCAACAAAGTAGGGACAGACAGAAGACCTCTGTTTTGAGATCTGATCAAAACTGGCTCAGAATCACTCCTGGTAATAAACAATTACCTAGTAATGGCAATTTAGAGGAAAGACCTCAAGGTAACACAGAAGAAAAATGTAAAAGGGGTATTTTTCTCTATAACAATATTTAAGACAAAAAAAACTGTAAATTACACCTAGAATGTCTTGTCAAGTGAAATTTTAGTGTCCTCTTCTCCCCATCAACAGCTCATACAAGAAGGAGGGCTGGTTTAATATCTACAAATTTTTTCCAAATTCTTTATTACCATTTAATCTATTTGTGTTTTGAACTATAGACAGAGTAAGATCTCTTGTATATTTTCTTTGGGTCTGGGAGCTTGCTACTGGTGTAATGTTGTATTAATATTACTCAAATGTCTTTTAAAGCCTAATGTCCACGGTAAAGATATCTGAGCACCTAAAAGGTAAATGGGCTGTCTCTATCAGTCTCTTTGGGAGTTAAACATCCAGATTTTTGTGTAGCTCCAAACACCAAAGAGAATGATTTAGCACACTGTACAAGTTGCAAGCACTAACATATAGCAAGAACACTCCTTTTATTTGCTGGCACAAGAGCAGACATGGGTAACACCTGGTTTGCTCAGCCTGGAGGAGACTCAAGGGAGACCTCACAGAGGTCTTCAACATCCTCACAAGGTAGGAACCCACCTCTTCAGTCTGCTGACCAGTGGTAGGATTGATGGAAATGTCATGAAGCCAGGAAGGGAGAGATTTTTCACCCAGAGAGTGGGAACAGACTCCCCAGAGTAGTAGTCCCAGCCCCTAGCTTGAGTTCCAAATGCATTTAGACAATACTATCAGGCACTTGGGTGGGACTCCTGTGGTGTCCTGTGCAGGGCCAGGAGTGGGACTCAATGGTCCTGATGGGTGTCTTGTAACTCAGTATATTCCATGATTTTATGATTCTATAAACTAATTTACCATTGTCTTCAATGATTGTGATACTTCCAGGAAAAATCTGTAGAAGAAACTGACCATCAAAGTTTTCTTATAGTCTACATTTTCACCATCAGTTGAGCCTGGAAGAGCAATTTCTTTAAGAACAAGTCTGCATGCTTCATCCAACATTTGTTCATTCCAGTGTCTGTTAGGAAGAATAATAGACACAATCAGACCAGGACTAATAAAAAATAAATACAGATTGCAGTAATATATGTGTACCATCAACCACAGACATAATCCTGCTCACAATGAAGCCAAAATATTGATTCTATTAATGTCTGCAATTTTAAAAACAGTATAGATCAATGTCTCTCACAGAGTTGAGCTCCCATAAGTAAACTGAATTAAGTGCTATGCCAGCATTTTTAAATAAACAAATACATAATTAAACAAGCCCTATTACAGCTTTAAAGCTGCTTTAGCAGTCTTACAGATTCTCACCATATTGCAGATACTATCCCATATTTAAAGAAAAGTAGATAAAGATACAGATGCAAAATGTAGCTACTTTCAAGGGATCTAATTAGCTGTACATTTCCTGAGGAAGCTGTCTTCTTCTAGTATCCCAATACTATTACTTCTCCATAGTTACACAACTGCAGATACCAAAATGTTATTCTGTTAGACTAAATTTAATCATGTAAAGCATCAAAAAATAATGAGCACTTCAACTAATGAAACAGTTGCATATTAAATGGAACACCAGGCCAGTGGGGCTTCATTTAGTGTTGCTTTTATGCTGCTTGAATTTGGAATTTTTTTCCTCCAAAACTTGGAAAGGTGCTGCAAACTGGGAGGGAAAGTCGGGGACTAATTCCAGAGATTATTTGGACCGTGTAGCTGAAGAGTAATTGAAAAGGTGAAGACTTGACTTGTGCTTCTAATTTTATTGGGCACATCTAAAGTTCTCAAACTTTGTATCTTTTAAAGACAAGCTGAAGGACTCAAGAACACTGATGAGAGTATTATCAAATGTATGGGATACAGACTAATTTATCCATACTTGGGTTTAAGTGCACAACTGAGTGATGTATATCTCACCTACCTATCTCACAGCTCATCTCTCTTATCCCTCTGCATAATTCACACTGGAGTTGCATTTCAGGTGCAAACTACAAAACGTAACAATCCTGAAAATTCATCATTAAGGCTTGATCATTCACCTGAACATTGATCAGGCAAATGAAATCTTTCTGTACTTTCATGTCCCAAGGAACATGAACCCAAGCTTTCAAAGTCCATTTATTCAAAGACACAGACAAGACAGGGAAATTTTACCTTCCAGTAAGTGTCTGACAGGTTTGTTTTGCACAGACTGTTGTCAAGACAGCACCTCCATAGAAAATGCTTAGATCCTTTATAATGTCTGTTCCCTCTTCAAAAAGGACTCTCATCCCAGCATTGGTTATTGGAAGAGCATTTTCCCGTCTTGGTGCTTGTCGAAATGCAGCGACGTACTCCCCCTGAGCAAGATCAGACAGAAGTTCAGACCATGTAAGTATCTGAAAGTAGAACCTGATATTGCACTATGTGAAGCAAGAGAACAAAAAATGAAGAGCACAAATGCAACTTCCTGAGCATTCAAGACCATGCACTTTCTTCTCTTGACCTTTCAGTAGCTTTACCATCTTTGATTTTCTAGCTGCTCATACCCAATCCTCCATCACCTACACAGTTCAGATGACCTAGATTTTTCCTAGCAGATAACTGGAAGGCAGGGATCTTGCAGAGTTGTATTTATAAGAAGACCACAAGTTTAGAGGCTTCAAGGTATAACCATACTTCACTATTCAGATAACATAATCCAGAATTCTCTTGCAAGATCCCATATCGACTCTTGCAAACCCAGTATCAGTTAAAGATTATTATTCAGTTCAAAAACATTTATGGAACCACCACATACATCCAACCTTATTGCATTTTAAAGAAAAATCCTCAGGAGATGTCAATGCTTTACCTATTTGATGCCAGCCGTATCGCAAGTGAGGAGCCTGATTTGGTGAGCACAATGGCAACTTTGTCCAAGACCCCTTTCCACAGGGGATCTAGACAACTGCTATTGCCCTCATCATTTTAGGGCAAACTTTTGTTTGAATATTACTCTTTATATAGCATCACCAGATACCTGCTGAATTGTGTTTTTCGGCTGAAAATGGGAGATATGGCACTGAATGTAAGGAATTCAGAAAGCGAGCAGTAACAGTGCTAGTTTAAACAGATGGATTATGCCCCCTCCTGCTCTTTATTTCATAGTCTAACTCTGCATAAAGCAAATCTAAACAAATTAATAACTTACCTTCCTAGAATAAGGAATATGGATAGAGACTAAGACCTCTTCTGGTGTAATGGTATTGTTACCAACTCCATCTGCAAAAATATCACTCATAGGAATCTGTCTCTTTTGTCCTAAAAAAATAAAAAAATAAAAAAAATCCCAAATCCAGAAAATTCCATACAATTGTGCAATCAATACATCAATAGTATTTTAATTGGCAATAAATACCTGCTACCTTCCTGAACAAATAACCACTACAGAGCTTATATAAATTCAAATGGTTGCTCCATCTTCCATAACATCATAATACCAGATTCATAAAAAATTACCCAGAGGTCAATCCTCATTCTGTAATCTTCCCTTCAGATACTGCCATAATGATCCCACCCTCACCTCTGTCAATCTATTCCAAATCTCTGCAGCTGCTGTCATAACTACCTTTCATTCTAAAACATAAAAAATGAGGAAGTAAACTAAGTGATAAACAACTGCTGTAAAAGGAAAAATGATTAGGGTTTTGTTGTTTAGTTTTTGGGTTCATTTCTTCTTTTCTTTGTTTGCTTTTCTCCTGAGATTATGTACATTTCCAGGAGTCCAGAAAGAAATAAATGCTATTGCTTCTTCCTTTTTGTTTTTGATATTTTATTCTAAAAGTGACCATACTTGTTATTCTAAATTTAAATTTTAAAGTTAAATTTTTCAGAAGGGAAGATGACAAAATTCTGCAAGAAACCTAAATCTCTAAGAGCCCTTTGAACACTTAAAACCTCATTTATGCTACAGAGACAGGCTATCCTCTCCTACCTCTTGAAGCAAGATTGAGCATACAGTTGCTGGCTGCCAGAACAGGATTCAAGTCTGATGTCGATTTTCTACTTATGATGTTTCCACCAAATGACTTGAAAAAATAAAGCAGATTAAAAAAATAAAATGTTACCTTTCTTTCTAAAATCGTCACATCTTTATGTTAAGTGACAATATGACATGCTAACTATATGTACATTTATACATATTGAAAGCTACAAGAAGAGGTATTGATAGAAAATTCATGGCAAAATCAAAATTAAAAATCCAAGTTCTACACATAGTGTGGACCAATTTCGCATCTGTTACAATTTTTTCAAACTATAATTGCAAATAATTCCCAACATACAGCAACATTTCTTATCTGTTCTCCGCCCAGAGTTCTCAATTGCTGCAAGACTGCACAGAAAACCCTTGTCTTCTCTTCAGGGAACTCAGCAATTGCATTTGTCAAGATGTCTTTCACTAGAGAGAGGCTGCAGGCAGCTCCCAGAGTTAATCCTGTAACCAAAAGATTATGAAAGTGTAATGTATGCATTGCTTTATTGCCTGGGTTTGAAAGTGTGTTCAGACTGTAGAGTTAGGACAGCTCACGTGGGCTAAGGCATATAAAAGGAGATGGGCCTTTGCATTTTAAAGGAACTGGAACCTTTCATTTCAGGAGACTGAGGGTAAAATCCCCAGAAATTATGAAATTGAACTAATACCTCACCTCTTCTGCCTAAAGGGAAATCCCTTCTCTGCTTCCAGCTGCACATTCCAACTGCTTCCCTTGCACCATGCTTTGACTGAGTAAACATTTAGAAGACACTTCACACAAAGATGAGTCAGCTTCAAAATACTTTCAACAGAGCCTTCTTATTTTTAAGTATGATTTTCATCCTAATTTCATCTTGCTTTGCATATATACATTTTAGTTACTCTTCTAAGGTGTGGGTAGGTAGCATAGGCAGCAAAGACCCAAATAGTCCTAGCAATGAAAACAGTATTCTTTTTCCCACTAGAAAGACAACTCATATGCATTTACTTAAGTTTTATTGTAAGATTATACTTCGAATTTTTTTAAATGGTACACAATTCCTTTCTATTAAAAATAATTATTTACATAATATATGAATGTTTTCAATGAATACTGGGATTCAATTAAATGTATAAATGAAAATATAAATAAATTTAATGAATTTTACTCAAGCAAAGCAATATTAAATTTTGTGTATCTAAAAGAAAAACTTAATCAAAACACATTTTGCATTTAAATCTGATTAAAGAGAGGAAATGCTATTTCTGGCTGGTAAATTAAACTGCGTATTTCTTGTTTTAGAACTAGTAAGTCTCAGCTTCGAATACCTAGGTTTTATTTACACACTTTAAAGAAGCAGTTAGCATTCTCCCAGCTTCTTTTCAATTCCTAGCCACTTTTCAGCTAAGAAAAACTAGTCTTTGAATAAAACTGAATGACTGATCTGAAATAAAATAGATATAGTAAATGCAATGACAGAACTATCAAACACAGTTCACCACTTAAAAAAGTGGCTTTGGGCATAGAGCAAGTAATTTCATCAAATATGACTTTCATTGAAATTTTAAGACTTTAAGCTTGTATAGGGTAATTTTTATTCAATTACTTTAGACTATTATAGTAAGTTGAAACCTATTTCTAGTTGTGTTTCTAATCCACCAGAATTTATTTAAAATCCAAAACCTAGTCTAACTAAAAAAAACTTCCATGCTTATTATAAGCATGTAAGTTGAGGTACAAACTTTTTAACCTGTTCTAATCAATGCTGTTATGATTGAGAACAAGATTAGTTAATGCATATCAGCTATGCCAGTTTAATCACAGCCTTTTTTCTAACATAACCAAGCATGCCCCATGCTAACTCTCCCTGTGGTTCTGTATGGGTCTCTCTCTGCTACTCAGCAGAGCCTGCATGACTAAGCTCCAGAACCAGTACTACCAGAATAATCACCCTTGCACTGAAGCACGAAATAATACTGCTGGTCAGTTCTGCACTGCATCATGAAGACCAAGTCATCCTGCACTGTGATGTTGGCAACAGCCCCCTAGACCTGGGAAAGAGCCAAGCATGCTTAGGAATTAGTTGCACTGCACTTCACACGGTCAGCACTCTGGAATGGTGCAGCATTCCTTACTACAAAGAAATCTACTTAAGAAAAAATTTAAGTCTACTGACCATCATTTGTGTATTTCAACACATTCAGATCTGGGATCCTTGCAGGAGCAATAAGAACTGGATGGAACACACCTCTGAATTTCACGTCAGGTCCTACAAGATAGGAATAGACCTAGGCAAAAGGCTTTTCCAAAACGACAACTCCCACATAGTGGGATGATGAAGATGCAAAAAGAAGGACAAATGCACACTGGAACTAAAGCAAAAACAACAGGAGCCATTCTGATCACAAACATACCCACACCGGTGTTCCCAACCACAAGAGGTGCTTTAGGGTGGGCGATTTTCAGATCCAGCAGTTCATCCAAGCTTACAGGAGAAATCCACGTTACTCGCTCCCCATGAAAAACCAGAGTTCTTTTTGGTTGATTTTCTGCCATTCTCTGATGGAGGAACATGGCAGATTTAAATATTTATAGACACATAGACAGAAGTGTGGTCTAATAGATACACTAGACTGAAAGTCAAAAATATTCTTGAACAACAGCAGTTCTACATAATCCTTTAAAATTGGACAAAAAGAAAACAGAAATGTTACGCTGGCTCTTTGCAAAGTGATGAAAGTCAAGACTGTGTAGGTGAAATGTCTTCAAGTAATTCCAATGGACTGATAAACAAGACTGATAATAAACAGTCCCCTAGCAAAATATGCAGGAATAGATCCTGCAATTGCTAAAACTGTTAGAAAAGTGATAAAAAATACGTATGGAGGTATTTGTCCACTTAGCTTGCTTGGAGAGCATCCATGACACTGACAGCAGCATCTCCTCCTAGATTTTGCATGCACTTAGGTGTCTGGCTGTTCTAGTACTGTTCACTGATCACTTGGAAATAGCTTGTGAACTAGTGCTGGTACAAATACACGGCCAAGAACTCATGTTCTAGTCATCAGCCTTTCTCCAGAAAGCTAGTCAGCTAACTATAGAGAACCTGGCTTTGAATTTCTACACTGACAATAGAGTAAAACAAACAGCTTTCAGTTTTTCTAGCGCATATACTGCTGTAAATAATGAAGGATTATTATAACACTTTCCATTCCAGCAGTTTATATCTTTGGCATGCTTTAATCACTAGGGTTAAACACACTCTGAGCTGGGTGGCTATTTGAGAACACACTAACAAAACTATTAAGCCACAAAATTGTTTTCCAATATTAAAAATTGTTTGCCATTCAGTTTACTGTAAAGTATTTGTAACTTCAGCTGCTGGACTGAAAACGCAGTTTAGGTTGTTTCTTTATCTTCTCACCTAACACTTAACTCTGCAACTTCATTTTCCCAATATGACTTTTTTGGTATGTGAATATACAGTAAGCTTACTGGGAAAAAAACCAAAACATGAAAATGTTTTGACATTTCTTCTGATTAATTACTGCTAAGCAGGACTTAAGAATTAATTCTGAACAGAGCATCAGAATAGTCTATAAGCAGCAAAAGGTACCATTAGTTCTGGAGGGAATATAAGCTCCTGGGTGGGATCTAAGGGCTGGAATTCATCTGTTGAAAACAGGCTGGTGGAGACCTTAAAAAGAAGACAAGCAAAGACCAAGATTTTTCTTTCATCATTACTTTTATACAGCAACAATAAAAACAAAAGCAAAAGCAAACCAGGAGACTGCCACTGAAGTCAGTAAAAAATCAGTCATTTCATTATCATTTGGATTTGTTGTTAAATCAACATGCACCATTTGGAAGTGCTGAGGTGAAAGAAGTGTTCATAACATTTTCTTAAATTTTACTGCTAACACAAATGTCAGTGCAGAAGCAAGCAACTGAAGGACTAAATACAGGCTTCCTGTAGTTCTACTATAACAAAGTAGTTTCATGCCATACTAAAGTACTCAAAACCCAAAGAAGTATATCAGATACTACTGAAAGAAAATTGAGAACAAGGTGAAATATTTGTATGGATAAGAGGTTTCACATAAAATCACAATCATAGCTCTAATTTTTAAGAGTGTATCAATTCTTTAGACTCAAGTCAGCAGTCTTCCTAAAAGACCACTACTTAGAGCATCACTGATCATTGATTTAAGCACATTTCACATATGCCCTAATGTCTTGCACAAAATAATTCTCACTGTATTGGCAGAGCTCAGACTATTAATATTACTGAATCTGAAGAGCTGTTCAAGTCTCAGCTCTGGAGAGCCAAACTACCTTATATAAACAATCTGACACATCACTGCCTCCTCATACAAATACATCCATAAAATCCTCAATTTTTCAAAATATTTCTAAATTTCTTGTGAAGAATAATAATTTATTTATTAAATACTCTATGCGATACTCTTTCTCTAAGTTTTATATTGAAGTAGGCTCAGTAATATATTTTAAACTTTACCTTCTCTTTATTGTCAAACAAGTCATCTTCCTGATCCAAGCAACATTTTCCATTTGCTTTCCTTTGACAACAAATAGATTCCTAAATAGGAATATCCCATTAGTGAAATACTACCCAGAATGGTAATGAGTTAAAGCTCATAAGAGTGACTCTGTATTTCAATAAAGATTGAGTTAAGTTTAATAACAAGTCATATTAGAAGGATTAAGTGTTAAAGGAGTGATATTAAAAAAATAATTTTAAACCATCAGATGTTGAAGTCCTTACTATAAAAGAATTCCTACTATGTAGAATTCAGTTGACATTGTGAGAGCAGATGTAGATAGTCTGTATTGTTCCCCTTACCAACAGTTCACTCCCATTTTTCCTCTGTAAGTTTCTGACACATTACATGACACATTTACTAAGAACATGGAATGAAATTCTGCTTTTATTCATGCCAGTACTATCCCACAGTAAAACACCCGGAGTTACTTCAGATTACTCTTCATAATCCAGGCTAGACACTGTGTTAATTCGTGTTAATTTTTGTAACAGGTTAGGCCATTTACTTAGAATGACATTTTTAAACAGAGAGAAGATTTTAATGAAAATCTTGATGGCTTGTCTATGCTTATACATTGATGACACCAATCTACCAATCCTATTGCCGCTACTTCTTACCTTACAGAAAGTTTTACAGGCATCTAGGATTGGCCTGTATCCAGTACAGCGGCACAAGTTCCCTGAAGGAAGGAAATCAAGTCAGAAAAAGCTTTGCTGTAAAATCCGTGGCTTTAGAATGTCATCTCTTTATGTGAGTCTTGTGTTTTTGAAGCTCAAGAAGTGTTAGCTCTCAGAAAGACAAAATGGAACAGTGTCACAAGACTTAGGGCCTCACAGCTCCTGACAAAAAATGCTGTTGTTTCAAGGGGAGTGTGAAATAGTTGAGATTTGCACCAGAGTGAATGCTGGCTACAGCTCAGTATGCAGGAGAGTAAGAGATTGTACAGTATTCTTCACCCGCTCAAAATGTTGCACTCCTTCCCCCTAACTTTTTTCTAGAGATGAAGGATGTTCACATTACACCTCTAAGTTCACCGCACAGCAACAGGAAATGCTTTGGCTCCACTGTGACTCTAGAGCACAACAGATGACAGAGGGCTATCTTACCTACAATAAATGCTTACACTTTCCCTTACTGAAGGTAGTCTATACCTCTCTATCTTGTTTTAATCCTACTGCAAAGGGCCTGTCCTGCAAGGCTTCTGACATTGTCAGTGCCAGATATAAAAGGACCCTGGAGATGCTCAGATGCAGCTGCTTCTCCAATATAACATCATTTTTATACATCTGATTTTAAGCACTTTAAAAGACACATATGGGAATGTTTTGAACACCTGAAGCAATCCACAGCTCCATGTTTCATTTTCCAGGGGAAAAGAATTACAGAGAATACAAGGCCTGCATCCAGTAGCAACTCTTCTAGGAAGCACAGTTTGTAAGAGTACATCATCCATACATGCAGGCATGTATACTCACATACATAAAGCATCTGCAGAAATGCTTCAGGAACACACCTGCAAACTAAAAAGTGGCAATATTTACCAGCCAGAGCTGCAATCATCTGCTCCGAAGTTGGTTCTGGGTGGTTTCTTAGCAATGTGTATATGGACATCACCATTCCAGGTGTGCAGAAACCACACTGGGAGCCATGGCACTTGGCAAGTCTTTCCTGAAATGAAATACCACAAACAAGACTCCTTCCAGCACTCATCTCGCAATGAATGCTCTCTCAAATGGGAGATGCCATTACAAAATGTTGCCTTCGTAATAAATCAGACCTTTTAATTAAAACACTTTAAGTAATATCAAATGAGAATAATTATTTTGGGTGTGATGTTCAGGCACATCTTACTAAAGAAGCTAATTAACCCTCAGTGGACTTCTGTCTTTTTGGCATTTATACTAAAACATGAGCCAAAGGGACATTGTCCAAGATGTGTCATTAGCCCAAAGATAGCAAAGCCTGACCCACTCCAACAATCTTTACATATCAACTGATCACACTGTCAATATTAAAGTAAGATCCATCATGAGCCATGTCATCAGCCTTGATCAATCAATCACTAGAAACCATTGTTGCCCTCTGTTGTCATTTAGCGGGGAAAACAACCATCTTATGAAATTCCTATGCCCTGTCACTAAAGCCATCCAAACAAAAACTTAATCAGTACAGTGATACTGTATTCTCACCTGAACTGGATGAATCCTGGTTTTTGTACTTCCAACACCTTCCACTGTAGTCACTGCTGCCCCGTACAAGGAACAAATGGGAAGCAAACATGCATTGGCTGAATAGTGTCTTTGGAACATAAAGGAGAATGAAGAACATGAATATCATTTTAATAAGTCTGAGTATTATTTTTTAGGCAATCAAGACATTGTTCATACTTACAAAGCAGCCACTATTAACATTTTTAATGAGAAGGGATCACTTTCTAGCTATGTCTCTTGTCCTCTGGATAAAAATGTACCTAATAAAGATAATTCCATGGAATTTATATCTTCCTTAATATCTCAGTCTTTTCTAATTGCCCTCTTGTCTCTCTTGCCCACAAGCAATCTGTCAACTGTATTTTGGAGGAGGAAGATAGGGAAGATTGGTGTAGGCATTGGAAAGAAGTAAAGAATTACTGCGGCAAATTTATAATTAAAATTCTGATCCAAAGCAAATTCTGATGTAAAATAAGTATCACACTAAATAGGAACAACACACCAAAATGAAGATTCTTCAAAGCATTTAATAACTTTAATAAAATTATTTGGTTTTTTAACATAATTGAAGTGTTTCTTTTCAAGAGTCTGCTTTAAGTTTAGCTCTTCCATCAACTTTAAACATTTTCATTTGTGTTGCATTCCAATGTAATGTAACTGTACAAAAGGACAACTGGAATGCTTTTTTCCCCATTTAAACACTTCAGTGCACAATGTCATGTAACCATTTAAGAATTTGATTAGAGTTTCCTCAACTTAAGAGCAATTTATTCCAGTTTTTAGCTTAATGAAATTTTGGTTTTGAGTTTCAAAGTCTTCCTTTTTGTGGGTGGGGTGTAATGGGTGGAGATGAGTTTTAAAGGTTGGTAAGACTCACACTTCTGCCTGCCCTACCTTCCCACCAATCATATGCCAGTATGCTGCTTTTGGCTGGGATAGAGTTAACTTTCTTCACAGTAGCCAGTGCAAGGCTGTGTTGTGCTGCTAACACAGGGATGTTTAGTTACTGCAGAGCAGGGCTTACACAGAATCAAGGTCTTTTCTGCCTCTCACCCCACCCCACCAATGAGGAGGCTGAGGGACACAAGAAACTGGAAGGGGACACAGCTGGGACAGCTGACCCAAAATGACCAAAGTCATATTCCATGTCATATGGCATCATGTGCAGCATACAGAGCTGTGGGAAGAAGAAGAAAGGGTGGGAGTTTTGCAGTAATTGTGTCTGTCTTCCCAAGTAACCATTATAGATGATGGTGTCCTGCTGTCCTGACGGTGGCTGGACATCTGCCTCATGATGGAAAGTAGTGAGTAAATTGTCTACTTTGCTTTGTTTGCACGAACAGCTTTTGCTTTATCTATTTAACTGTCTTTTCTCAACCCATGAGTTTTCTCTTTTACCCTTCTGATTCTCCTCCCCATCCCATTGAGGGGAATGAGTGAGCAGCTACATGGTCCTCAATTACTAGCCGGACTTAAACCACCATACAAAGCTGCAGGAAGGAGCCACATTCCAGTGGTCAAGCCAAAGCATCTTAAATTAACACCTCCTACAACCTCTTGCAGGGGCTGCCAGTATTTATAAGTAAATCAAGCATTGGAGTATGATAGTTCACCAAATTTAAAATATAGCTGAATTAGTTGCAATTTTTACAGCATTCTCTTTTTGGATTAAATTGCCCATTCCTCTACATTATTTTAGTATTAAGTACAAGTTCAACAAATCTGCTTTTAAAGGTTCATATCTGGACATGGTAACTACTAGAATAATTTTTTTTTGCAGTTTTTAAAATATTATGTTGAGGATACCGTATCTTCTTTGAAGCTGGCTCATAAGTTGATATCATCACTGTGCAGGCACCACAGCCACCTCCTCCACAGCCATACTTAGTTCCTGTAAGACAGACTGAAAATGTTGTCATTAGGGAAAATAATTATCTGGCTCCATTTTGGCCTTCCACTCAAAGGCTTGAGACCACCTTTTTTCCTAAACCCCTAAGGAACACAGAATCAGTTTGGTATTAGCATACATACTGGACTCCTTTCTATACTGGAATAAAATTCTCAATTAAAGCAAGATGGAAGCTAAGGAATTACATGACCAAAATCCTCTTCTTAAGAAAACAGAAAACTTGATTATGGTTTATTTTGGAAGAATAGTAAGTTGGGACAGAAAAGGGCAGTAGTTCTCCGAGTGAAAATATGAAAGGAAAAAATGTCTAATGGGAAAACCAGCTTTATATCTGAAATTCCAGTGGAACATTAAAATCAATTTCCCAGAGAAGGCCCATTTATAGTCAGGATATTTGCCTTGCATCTCATCTGACAGATCACACTTCTGAGAAAAGTACTCATTTCTGTGAATCTGGAACAGTGGCCAACCTAAAACTGTGAATCAACAAACAGCTAATTTAATGTTCCAAAGCCACCAAAAGTAAGATGCCTTTTTGCCCCTCAAAATTCCATCAGTCTCAGGTTCTCATCACAAGAGCTCCCCTTTACCAGGAGAGAGATGTTACAAAGCTTTGGGACTTCTATTCTGTCTAAGGTTTATATATACTGACCACTAGGTTTTTAGACTTCTTTACCAGGTGGAAGCGGGGGGAATGCAGACACATATTCATTGTGCCTGATGGTGTAACTCTGTGTGTTTAAAAAGCCAGGCTAAAAATACAGCAGCTCAGCTGAAGAATATTTGGATTAAGAAAGAGACATCATTTAGTGTCAATGATTTATCTTAAAGGAATCACAACTTACTTTAATCTGGTAATTAAACCTTGAATTAAAATTTATTTGGATTTTGCTTGAATAAGGCTTTCACATGAGTGACTTTAACAAACAGACAAGAAAAGGATACGCCTCTTTCGCAGATAAGACAAGAGCATTTGTTCAGGATCAGCATTTTTCTCTATTATCTACAGCAAAAAGTAAAAAAAAACAAGGTTTAAAAAAAAAGCTTTAATTAAGAAACCAAACCCTTTCAAAATTCAGGGTACAGACTACATTCACAAAGCTAGAAGAGAATCTTTCTCTGGTTCCCTTTTATAGAACTACACTAATTGCCAAGCACTGCAGGAGAGTTAGGTTCATTCTGGAAATTCCTTTTCAGACAGATACATTTCCAGAAAAGAAGTGTTAAGGCACCTTGCAAGAACTAAAAATAACTGCTGCTCAGTGAAACGTTATACTGAGGGAACTGACCTTCGGCCACACTAGAAATAAAAATGCAGAACTTTAAAGACAGCATAAAGAACTAACTAATGATTTGCAGATTTTAAAGACTCCCTGGCATCCTGACATACTAGAAGAAACAGTAGAGGAAACCTGTAAGGCTATTAGTAGCAGCAATTTCTTTTCTAGTTTTATTAACTTCCATTTGCCATTAGAAACTGACGACAGAGAGCAACAGAAAGACCCACATTCTTAATCGAGTACAGTATTTCTTATTAAGTAACTTAAAATCAGCTGGTTCCTTACAGTTACTTTGGATCAACAACCAGTCCTTGCAATATCATCTTAGTCAATAATCCAAATTTGGGCACTGGAGTCTTTGCTTTCAATTGTGCCTCTGAAAACCTGACACCGTCAAAGATGAAAAGCCAGACATACGAATGAAAAACGCGGTTTCCTTATCAGCCAAGTCTGATACTCAGCTGAAAGTCAACTTCATTTTTGACACGGTTTTTCTCCTAAACACAGCAGAGCTAGCCAAAATGGGATGCAACCATCCAACCTCCTTCTGGAGATTTGTGTGAGGATTCGATTACACTCTCATGAATAAGTCTGAGGAAGCGAAATCCGTGCTCTTTGGGGCTCCTTTAGCCACAGCAGCCCCTTTTTCTCCGGGCTTTACTTACCTTCCTCCCATTCACATAGAAAACGAGCTCCTCAGCCGCCGCGGCCCCTTGCAGAGCCATGGCTCGCAGCCCCGGTCCCGGGAGCAGCAGGGAAAGCCGCGCAGCAGGAGGCGCTTTGTTGTGAGGGGCGGGGCCGCGGGGCGGGCGGGGCCGCTCCGAGGGGTTGTTTTCAGGCCTGAGCTGACTGCAAACATTTATTTACTTACCTTTAAGGTGTTATTTAAGTGTTCGAAAGCTAAGCCATACCTTACACTTTCTCAAAGGACACAGGTGTTCCTGCAGAGCAAAATGGCAATATAAACACTGTGGACTGTTACCAGGTTCTTATAATAAAGTCACCAAGAGTAATTTTAAATTGAGATAAAATCCAGTAATGTAGTGATCATGAGGCTAATGGGATTTTTGGTTATAGTTGCATTCACAAAATAATCAGCAGTAAGGTCCAGGTATCATAACTATTTGTAAGGGGTACTTGTGCAGGCAAGAGTTTATAAAAAAAAAAAAAATACCCTTTCTGTATAATCAAAATACATGGAATTAATTTCCTACAAAATTTCAATTCGATTGAGTAAACATGAGAAAAAGCAACTTTAAAGCTATAAAAAGAAGTGCAAATTACCTTATCCTCAGCAAAATTATCCTAATTCTTGGTGATGGCTACAAATTGATTTTAATGTCAAAAATCATGAGCTGCTTTTATATCATTTTCCTGGAAAGAGCTTCTAATATACCAAATGACCTGGTAAAACAAGCACATATAGCGAAGGCTCAAAGACAATGCAACATTCTTTATGCCACTTTTATGTGTTCATTTTGTGTAACAAAAGAAACCTAGGAAATAACAAAGGGAGTCTTCTCTGTTTTCTATTACTGAACATCAGTTTGAGCAAGAAGAGTGAGAATGGAGAAAACAAGGAAAGAAGGGCAGTAGCAATAATATGATTTCAGAGTTACTTAAAATAACTTCTATGCGTCTTCAGGCCACCTTTTTATCCTTTCTTAACTTTGAAAGATATCTATACTAAAGGAATGGAAGAAATAAAGGCATAAAGCCCTAGGCCTTTTACTTTTATTGAAAATTATATGCTTGTATTTGGGACACCCTAGCAGTCTAGCTGGTAACACCCAAGCCTGTGTAGAGCAACAGGACCTTCACTGAAAAAATAATTAAGCCCATCCACAAAGAGATCATTTATTTTCTGGGGAGATGAAACACATGCCTCTGTTTCTAGCTTTCCAACCACAGGCAGTAGAGAGAAACAACCATTTAAAAAACCACAGTGTTTTTCTGCTGCAGTGCCAGTACTGGGAACACAAGTTCTAACAGGTGTTCCTTGAGGGTTTCTAATGACACAGCTGGTGATGTTGATAAATAGTTGAAGCTAGCAAGAACACTTCAATTAAAAATAAATTAATTACAAACTAAAAACCAAGAAAAATGCTTAATATTTCCTATGTGTACTGCTTGTTAAAAAATAACATTGAAGGAGGATAGAATCTATCTTCTCAACCATTTCTGCACCTCTTCATAATAGTCTTGCTGATGGAGTGACATACACAGCATGTTTCAGAAAGAAAAAAATCTGACTGCTGAAATTTCCCAGATGTTAACAGCTCTGTTTTGCAATGCAGATCACATTGCCTGGGTGATAAGTTTTTTACTGGAAGAATTTTCATACTGATTGAATACTCTATTTGTACTGCAAGGCTCCATATGAAAATACCTTGCTCTACTTACTGCTGTATATTTACAATCTTTACATGATCTTTGCAACTGGTACCACAGTTAGACAACTCTGTTTAGGGACAAAATGTCCCCTTTGTAAACTCACTAGTGATACGTTTAAATTAATGCATGGAAAATCCTACAGGATCTTGAGGACACTACAATAGGGCTACAGACCATAACAAAATAACCACAGCAGAAAATAGTTGTGGTATTATTTAAGTGTTTGTAAATAATACATTTATGCCTCTTAGTGTTTATGGTTATTGTTCAGCCTTACATGTAGAATGGACACACCTGGAAGCTATATCCAGGAGTGTGTTTTGATATGTATGAGTCCTTTTTCTGTCAAAATATACAGCTGAAATTCTGGCAACTCACAGAAGGATGTCGGTTCCTCAGGCTGAACTCCTTGAGATTCCTCTCAGCACATTTCTCCAGCTTGACCAGATCCCTCAGAACCACGGGGTATTTCAGCCACTCCTTCCAGTTTTGTATCAGCTGCAGACTTGTGTAGGGTGCACTGACTCATTAATCACTGCTGGCAGCAGTGTGAAACCGTAAGGAGCTCTAATGTTTTGCCTCCAGCTGGACCATTTGGCACTAATCACAACCTTCCCGGTTTTCAACTCACCTCACTGTGCCTTAACAAACCCATACTTCATCAGTTTGTCTGTGGAATGTTATCAGAGAAAATGTCAAAAGACCTACTACAGCTGAGACAAACACCTAGTGCTGTACCCTGACCCACCAAGCTAGTTGTAGAAGACTATCATGTTCATAAAGCCAGATTTCCTGATTGCAAATCAATGCCAGCTACTCCCAACCACCTTCTTGTTTTTAACATGTGTTAAAGGACTATTTTCTCAGGCAGCTTCCCAGCTTACAATGTAATCTACAATGAAGTACAAAGAGTACATTTAAAAGAATGTTTTTAAGAATATAATTTTTCTAAGAACATATTATAAAAATATACTTTAAAAAATATATTATACATTTAAGAATATCAGTTAAACCTCTTAAAAAGGGACATGCTGTATCAGACAAAAGGTCAAGCTAACCAAAGAACTGGTCTCTGAAAGTGTCAACAAGGAATGTCCTTGGAAAAGGTACAATAATTGGTCAAAGGCATAGTAAGGCTTCTCCAGAATCATCTTCGAAAAATTTGCAATTCAGGAACATCCTGTGCCAGAAATGGTGTTTCTGGTAATTTCTCATAGATCTTTCTTCCATTAATATGCCTGATGAATTTTTAAGCCCATGTAAACTAACATCTACTGCATATACATGAAGAACCACCATCTATAACTAAAATAAGTTACCTTATTTCTATCTCATCAAAAATGTCTCTCTGCTGCAAAATGGACCTGAACTTTATCCATTGTAATGTGTAAAAGTTGTGTGGGTAGTGAGTTATCACCTGCATCCGGCAGCATTTACAAATCAGATACTGCCAGAAAACTGTCAGCTGACAGCACAATATGGAATGCAGAGGGGAAGCAGTACAAAAACCTGAAAGCTGAATGGTATGACGTTATTGCATTACTTGTCACACTGGCACCCTCAATTGGAAACTCAAGGTATTGCTTTGTCTGGATCCTATTTACTACTGAATTTCTATTGAAGTGCTTTTTTCTTCCTTGCTGCCTTTGGCCCGTACTGTAGACACTTGACTTCCCTCCATTATTTCTCAATGAGATTTCCTTATTCAAACCTCAGTGTGATTCTGTCAAATCCAAAAGTCAACTATCAAAAAAAGAGGGACTATCTCCATCTTTTTCAATAAATTCGTAAAAATTTTGGATGCATATGTCTATTCTAACCAGCACTGAGAAATTGTTCCATTCACAATAAATATGAAAAACTCACAGTACAATTCCCAAAGCTGGTTTATTTTTAGTTCTCATTAAAACATGTATTTTATAACAATTCAAGAAGTGCTGCAAGCCATTTGAACAGACTATAAATTACTGACCAGATATGTAAAACACAAGCAAGCCTGACCTGTATATGCCTTCTTCAGTAAGGTATTCTGTGTCCCTTTTATAGGGGTTCTTCTCCAGAAAATTTCACTGTGGAAGACCTTTACTAATCAAAGAACAACAAATACTCTCTATTGCTAAACATTTACATATATATATAAACAATTGTACCCATTTTAGAAGTATTGTCCCTAAAGGCAATTCTCTGTTCTTCAATAAAATTTTGATTTGCTTTTAAAATTTCTTTTATTTTTTACTTTGTAGATTGGGGAATTCAGGAATTCTGTATCTGTAAATTCATCCCCTCGCCTTAATTTTCTGTAAAGAAAAGAAATAAAACACATAAGGTATGAATATCATCAAGCACCTATGCAACTATAGTAATGTAATCATAATAATTAAAATGGTAAATAGTATTAATGAAAGCTTGATACACTAAAGAAATTAAATTTGTAGAAAATAAATATATCTGAAAAAGCATAGCTAACTACTGCTTTCTAAAATAATGCTAGAAATATCAGTCTTTTTATGTGACCTCTATCATATTAGGATATGATATTCCTATAAAATTCAAAACTTATTTAAACCAAACACTTAACAGCACCCATTCAGGACAGTGTAAATCTAACTAAACTATAAATTGGAGACAATAATCTTAAATGTTGACTGACATCAACATTTTTTTCTGTTATTAGTTCCTGTTTCTCAGAAATACAGAACCTTATAATTTTGGGGTAAAAGAGTGGCACTGTCTCAATATATAATACTACAGCATTTTAGCATATAAGCAAATTAGTAAAATAAGAGTGGGACTCTAATCCCTTTCCAATTTATTTTACAAGTTATCTGGAATAAATATGTCTGAATTGCCAGTGGTAAAGTGAAGACTTTTTACTTTTAGCTCCTACTTTTCTTTAGTCTCACTGCTTCAATTGTTAACTTATTCACAGAAGTAAAAAATATTTTGAGGTTGTATGAGAACAGTGCTCAATTTTTTTTTTACAGTTTGTGCATTTATCTTCTTGTCTTGCCACAGTATTGCCAGACCAAAAGGCTTTTTATAGCTTTGTCATAAAGTAAGTTGCTATAATCCTTTCACTCTCAACACTGTTCCAGGGAAGCCTTTCTACTGTTTTTATCTCATGAATACACATCCTGCTAACACATAACACAGTGGAACTGTTCTTTAAATTAATATTATGCTTTAAAAAAATCCAAACCAAACAAAAAACCTCAACAACTTTCTGGCAAAAAACTCGCAGAATATTTTCAGAAATGATGAACCTAAAGCTCTGTTTACATTTAGATCTATTCATTTAAGGGCAAATATAGAAGTTTTCTTAATGGAAGTTTGGGTTTCAAATCCTCTTTTAAATTTTAGAAGTTATTTTACAATTTATGTCTTGTCTTTTAATAGCCTATAAAATCCTGTGCCACTAAATTTACTACGAATACTATGAGGCAAATTAGTTATAAAATAATATATCCAATATAACTATCAAATTAATATATCTTAAATGATTTTTTGTGTTACATACAGCTAGTTAAAACAAAACTACTGAATTTTATTAGTACATAAATTTCCTTTCCATTTGACAGGATTACAAGGACATTATTATGGTATAATTTACCTTTAAGTATAACAGTGATAATTATTCATCTCTAAAGGGGTTTATATCATTATTATTCTCTATTAGTCCAAACTATATTTTAGAATTTGAATACTGTTCTTGTCTTACTTTGGCACTTGGGCATTCTGCCACACTAACTGGGGAAGCTTCATATCAACACTGAAGTATCTTTGAGATACTTCAGTATCTCAAAAAAGAGATTTGTGATAGTTAACTGTTTATTCAGGGCTTTAATAACCAATCTTTACTGGGGGTAGTTGTGTACGCAAAAGACAAGAACAAAAGCCCCAGTTTCTGTGTACCTACCTGTTTAGACTGGGTTCCTTGTAGCAAATAGTGGGTCTGCTTCGTCTCAGTGGTGCTGCTTCGTCTTCTAAAGTTTGGGGGGATTTAGGGACAGAAGTGTAAAGTTGTATACTAGTATTTGTCAGATCTTGGAAAGCTCTTCTTCCTATAAATGCAGTAGTTTATATGCTTCATTTAAAATATTTCCTGCATCATTATGTAAACTTCAATTAATAATTGTTTTTAACGTGTTTCTTAATTCAGGTACATTGGTTATTGCTCCTACACTAAAGATACTCAACACAAAATGGGACTGATGATCAAAGAAAATGCTACTAGAACAGCTTTCATTCTGTTCAAACTTGGAGCTGTTTGAGGTCTGCCTTGGCTCATGGGACATTTCAGAGCAGTCCAGTGACTGCTCAGGACTCCCTTATTGCATTTACAAAAGTAACACAGCACACAGCTCCTTGCCTTGAACACATGGGGAGGGCACACGTATAATCTGAAGAGTCAAGCTGTACAAGAGTTTTTTTAGTTCTGCGTTTTCTAGCTTTATGCCTTCTTTTTGGGCCTATATAAAAAAAATGAATGAGCACAGCAATCTTTCAAGATCTGGATTTGGATGCAGGATGAAAACTTAACTGTCTTTTGAACTATGCTTAAATAGATGAAGATCAAATAACTATCTTGCTTTTTTTGCCAGCAGTGTTTGATACTGCTGGTCACAAGGGCTTACTGATTTACCATTAAATTACTAAAAGTATGGGATCCTTTCTCCACCTTCCAAAGGAGGAACTGAAGATGAGAAGATGCAACTGCAAATCACAAAGACTGATACCTCACACAAGGGTCTCATCCTGCCGGCATTCCTATTCTGTGCTCAGGCAAAACAGATTTTTTTAGCCATTGTGTCCTAGCATCCAAATGAAGCCAAGGCAGTATTAGCTTAATAGTTTTGAATTCAAACTATTTATTTGAGCTAGATATTGTCTAGGTGTTGGGGCTTTCTCAGACTATGAAATAAACAGGAACTTGTTGAGAACAAGTTTACAAAATAGGTCACTAATGATAAGAAATTTCAAAGCTATGTTCTAAAGTATATTTAAACTCTTGTATAGATATGTTAGTTATACATTCCATCAACTCCATTACATTGTGTTATAACAATTACATTTATGATATAAGAATTTAAACCTAGCTTCCAGACTACACTGAAGTTTTATTCCGTTCTTAATGTATCTTAAAAAAAGAGACTGTCACATCAAAGTTGGCATATGGGCAGGTTATAGAAAAAACTGCTCAACATACGTCTTTGACATATCAGAATTCCTGTTGAGTTGCAATGTTTCTAAAGAAATAAAAATGAAATCTTTAAGTCCAGCTATATTTTCCATTTAAGAAGGGAACAGCGTAGTCCTGTCTTGTTTCTCTTGGAGAAAAGCTATTTTATCTGTCAATCCCCATTTTTTTCAATGTAATGGAATTCTTCATAAAAGAAATACATGTTTTAACTAAAATTACTTCTCAAGAATGTAGACAAGTTACATCTGCCCTACTAAGTATCATCTTAGGATATATTGAAAAGTAACAAAGATATTAGTCACCAAAACTGATAAAGATATTGTGACTGATACATGATATAAAAAATTTTGCTGATTTTACTTCTTACCTTTTTCCACTCCTTTTTTATCCGCTCTAAACAAGGAATGAGAGGACAGAATTAAGAGAAGACATGTTACCACTATTTCACGCACTACCTAATAAAAATGCCTTGCTTTTCCTAGCCCACACACTTACCATGACAAGGTGCCAGAGTATTTTTGTTACTCTGTTTAGAAATATGATCCATATTTTGTTCTTCTTTTTCAGCATCCAGTGTTTCATTATGATCATTTTGCCCATGGATTTCAGGGCTTTTCAGTATAGAGAAATTGATGGAAGCATTGTGGTTATCAAGAG